GGACTTGCTATTCTTATTAACAACAAGTGGTGTCATCCTGGTCACGTTACTGTGAAGGAGCATGTGTGCAGCCCGGACATTGAACTGCTTGCCGTGAGTCTGCGGCCATATTATCTGCCGAGGGAGTTCTCACACGTGATCATCCTGGTTTTTTACATTCCTCCGACCCCAGACACGGCACCCAGACGCATTCACCGTGATATCTGGGGACTTCAAACACATCACTCTGGCTGCAACACTGCCCACTTTCAAGCAGTTTGTGGACTGTCCCACCAGGGAAAACAAGACACTGGACCTGCTGTATGCCAATGTTAAGGAGGCTTACAGCTCCACTGCCCTTCCTCCTCTTGGAAGATCAGACCACAACCTCATCCACCTGCAACCCCTGTATAAGCCCCAAGTCCAGCGGCTTCCTGTGACCACCAGGACTGTGAGGAGATGGTCACAGGAGACCGATGAAGCTTTGCAGGGCTGCTTTGAACTAACAGACTGGGAGTTGCTCTATGATTCGCATGGAGAGGACCTTGATGATCTCACGGACTGCATAACGGGGTACATCAACTTCTGTGCGGACAGTGTTGTTCCTACAGTGACTATACGCTGTTTCCCCAATAACAAGCCTTGGCTCACCAGAGACTTCAAGGTCCTGCTGAATGAGAAGAAGATGGCCTTCAGAGATGGGGCCAGGGAGCAGATGAGGCGGGTTCAGAGGGAGCTTAAGGAGAGAATCCAACAGGGTAAAGACAGCTACAGGAGGAAGCTGGAGCACAAACTCCAGCAGAACAACCTGAAGGACGTGTGGAGCGGCATGAGGAGCATCACTGGCTACAAACCATCAGGTGGTACTGAACAAGCCAACGACATGAATCTGTTTTTCAGCAGATTTGATGAGAGGGCTCCGGACTACCCCTCCCCCAGCTCCTCTGCAACCATCCACCTCCAAACCTCCAGCCCTGCTGCCCCCCTTCCCCCTCCGTTCCTTCCTGACTACGCCCTACCTGTCCTCTCCCCCCCACCATCACCTCTCCCCACCCCCATAAACACACACGGCAGACAGACCTTCACCGCAGAACAGGTGAGAAAGAAGCTGGGCAGACTCCGCCCAGGCAAGGCAGCAGTTCCTGACGGTGTCAGCCCGAGGGTCCTCAAAACATGCGCAACCCAGCCGAGTGGAGTCTTGCAGCACATCTTCAACTGGAGCCTGAGTCTGGAGAGGGCCCCTGTGCTGTGGAAGACATCCTTCCTGGTACCAGTACCGAAGAAGTCGCGTCCCAGCACCTCCAACGACTACAGACCGGTGGCGCTGACGTCTCACCTGATGAAGTCCCTGGAGAGGCTGGTCCTGTCACTTCTTCGGCCCCTGGTCAGCTCATCACTGGACCCTCTTCAGTTTGCCTACCAGCCGAGACTAGGAGTGGAGGATGCCATCATCTTCCTACAGGGGCGTTGCGGACTCGAGTGGTGTGCAACTAACCATCTGCATCTCAACTCCACCAAGACTAAGGAGCTGGTGGTGGATTTCCGCAGGAGGAAATCTGCCCCCACACCCATCTCCATCAACGGTGTGACTGTGGATGTTGTCCAGGATCACAAATACCTTGGAGTCTACCTGGATAACAAACTGGACTGGGCAAAGAACACTGAGGGCTCTATCTTGCACTCAAGCGCAATTGACTTTGTACACTGGCGCTTGTTTAATTTCTATTTTGCATTCGACGCACATTGGAATTTTCCCTCCACAGACGCACGTCCTTAAATTAGGGAAGGGTGCATGCTTGGCCATAATGTAGCGTTTGCACAACGTGCATACACTTTGCTTCTCTCATCTACAAGGAAGCAGTTCCCATTTTTGCAAACCATACATAATTACAAGGAAAAATATTACCACACGAGGGAAATCATTGTGGTGTCCATGAAGCTGTGAAAAAATAGGCATAAATCTAGCGTACACAGTTACCCAAAATATTCAGGCTAATTGTAGAATTGACGGATCAAACTAACCTGTTTGACCAATAGTCACTAGACACATAGGTATGTAAGGATACCTGACAAAGTGGGTTGTCCGTCAAGAACCAGGAAACAAAATTCTGAAGACTACGAAATCACCTTTACCATCATGTAAGTTCATTAAAAACCTTACTCTTCAACTTACCAGTTAAGTTGCGCTTGCTCATAATTTTTTCTATTGCACAGTGAGATGGAGTACATCCTTAGCACCATTGGATGCATCTCGCAATCTGCCATAAGTTCGGCTATACATGCAGTTACATCAGGTCTAGTCCGACATGCTGGGGAATACATCCAATTCCCCGTCACACCTGACAGCCAGGAAAGAACGAAGCAGGCGTTTTGGGTGAAGTATGGGTTCCCTGGTTTCCTTGGTGCTATAGACTGCACCCATGTGCAGCTACGTGCCCCATCAGAAAAACGCACTGATAATATATCAACCGCAAGGGAACCCATAATTTGCGATGCTACTTGTAAAATCACCCATGTCTTTGCGAATTACCCTGGCTCAAGCCACGACTCATTCATATTGGCAAACTCTGCCATTCCTGCCATCTTCGAGGGAAATCCCCCCTTGGATGGGTGGCTGTTAGGGGACAACAGCTATCTGTTAAAGACATGGCTGATGACACCATTTATTATGCCAGCAACAGTGCGTGAAATGCTACATAATCGAAAACACACAGAAACACGCAGTGTAATTGAACGAACATTCGGCATACTGAAAATGCGCGTCAGGTGGTTGGATAAGTCAGGAGGCACTTTACAGTACAGTCCTCAAAAAGTCGCAGCATTCTTTGTGGCATGTTGTGTTTTACACAACATTTCCATGAATCGTGGATGTGTTGATGACATAAATGAGGAAATATTACAGGACTTATATACCCCAGCAGCAGCACAGGAAAGGAGAGCTTATTTGTCAGAAGAGCTGCATCATCTATAGTGAGGTAAGCAAAGTAATCTCGTGTTAGACTACATTGCAAAATATATAAATAACAAATGTAATTTTGTAAATGAACAAAAAAAAAATACAAATGGAAAATGGAAAGTTGAAAAGATTTAAACAGAAGAATTAATTATTTTCCCCTCTGATAGGCGTGCGACACGCGCTTCAGCAGGATTGGACACGTCAGGGTCCGGGAGTGGCAATACGCGATGTGCTCCTGGTGGAGCAGGTGGACGGAGAAGGAGTGGGGGGGGGGGACAACAGGAGGAGGAACGGTTACAACAGGAGGAGGAAGGGGCACAACAGGAGCAGGTGGTGCGTTTGGAGGCCCACGCTCCATGGCAGCAGCAATCCTCTCCAGACTTGAGGGGATGCGCCTGAGAGGCCGCAGCAACATCGCCATCCAGTCAAGACAGGCATTAATACTTTGCCGCATCCCGGACAGCTCCCACTCCAGCATGTCAAACCCGGTTTGCTGGAGCTGCAGGAACAGGTGGTCCTCCGGTCTGACGATGCCGCCACGGTGTGTAGTGTGTCTGGATCGTCTGCACCTTGGTGTTTGCGCTGCTCCCTCCTCAGCTGGCCCTTGCACTCTGCTCGGCCCGTGTGCACTGCTCCCGAGGCCCGGGTCTTCTTCCTGCGAAGCTGCATTACATTGTTTTGATTTATTGTATGGCTGTGTTACATTTATTTCATGTCAATAATGATTAAAAAGATTTTCATGAGAAATCTCTATGTATGTGAACTTGATTTGTAAGTGTACCTTGGGGTTGGACAGCTAGTGTATTGGGTTGGGTGCCGATTTCCAAGACCGCAGTGAACGCAGCGATGTTCTCTGCTGGCGTCAGGTCCTGAGTAGAGGCAGATCCACCTCCAGTTATGCGGCGTGTCCGATTGTTGCCAGCAAGCTTGGACTTCCCCCATCTTCTGACGTCGTTGTAGCGCTTGCAGCCCTGGTGTGATGTCCTGGGGCTGCAGCCATAGAAACAATTGTGGCAATTTCCTCCCACGCCTGTTTAACCAAAGCTAATTTGGGTGGGTTTCTCCCATCCCGATACAATGCCACTTCTCAGTCTTTTACGGCCCTGACAAGAACGTCGGTCTCCTCGGCTGTGAACCGCTCCTGGCGTGCAAAATCCCGGCAAATCCACCATTATAATAGCAATCCGCTATGGAAAAAGTGTGCCTGCTTTTAAAGGGAACAAAGCTACTTGCGTTTTGCGTTTGATACTTGCGTTCAGATAGAGGCCTGAGGCTGTTTACAAGACGGGCCAGAGTCGACTCTATTTCCTGAGGAGGCTCCATTCATTTAACGTATGTAACATCATGCTGAGGATGTTCTACCAGTCAGTGGTAGCCAGTGCCATCTTCTATGCTGTTGTGTGCTGGGGCAGCAGGCTGAGGGCAGCAGACGCCAAGAAGATCAGCAGGATCATCAGGAAGGCTGGCTCCGTCCTGGGGGTCTAACTAGAATCTTTGGTGGTGGTGTCTCAGAGGAGGATGCTGTGTAAACTGCACAGTATCCTGGATAACAACGCTCACCCTCTCCACCAGGTGCTAACCTCGAGCAGAAGCACCTTCAGCAACAGACTCATTCCCCCCCGATGTCCCCCCCGAACGCCAGAGGAAGTCTTTTCTTCCTGTGGCCATCAGACTGTTTAACTCATCTTTAATTTAGCTACTGTTGTACTTTATTGTATGTTAGCTTTATCCTATTGTGCTTTGCACTTTGTTGCATTTAGTTACTTGTTTTATTTTTATGCTAGCTTAATTCTTACTCTTGTATTACTTCTCCACTTTTGTATCGCAATTGTTGCACAGCAAGTTCCCTCGGGATAAATAAAGCTTCTTGAATCTTGAATCTTGAACAGACGAGCTACTGTAGCTCAAACTGCTGAAACAGTTAATGCTGGTTCTGATAGGAAGGGGTCAGAACACACAGTGCATCACAGTCTGTTGGTATGGGGCTGCTGATCGGTGTATAGAAGTACTTACCAGATGGTTTCATACTCACAGTAATAACAGTAAGCTGTTTCTGCTTTTCTCATTTAAGTTTTTATTAATTTTTATGTTTAGAAATATAACATTCTAAAGGTTGTGGCGGTCCACTGCTCCAAAACAGTGAGGATGGGTCAAATGCAGAGTTCCCCCCACAGATATTAATCCAACATAACAAAACACAGAGATGACTAAGAGAACAAAAGCACCAAAACACAAAGAGGTCATCATCTATAATAACTCACAAACAAGAAAATGTCTTTTGAAGTTAATAATGACTCTTTATAACATAATGAACATAAGGATCTAAACTCCTGACAATGTTCCATCCTAATATGTTTCCTATTGTTCATATCGCAATACCATGATGTAACTAGGTTAAAAAGCTACTGTACACCTAATTTCAGGAATTTTGGTTTATAATCCCATACATTAGGCATAGCTAAATAATTTGGGTATTAATTACGAACATGATAAGATAATATTTTTCACATTTTCTAAAGTCAGTGGTGATTTGACTGGAACATTGTCTACAGACAATGACTACAGACTAATTTGTCTCAAAATGTAGACAAATAATCGCAAATATGATAGATATCGCTAGAGGGAAGAGAATTTTTTTGATTTTAACAGATTCATCCTTACATTTAGAACATTTGGTATCTTATGTTAAACCATTTTAAAGAGTGTAAGTGGTGTATAGTATCGTCTAGTTGAATTATTCTTGATCATTAAATCCTTAACATCAGATTTATCTGTTCTTAAACTGTTTAACCACCCTGAACATGTTCTCTGCCTATTTTAGTGTTTGGATCCATTCATCGTCTGCGTTTTGTAGTTCCTCAGCTGTTCCAGGAAGCCAGGGTTTGGGGATGAGACTGGCCGAGCTGATTTGACCAATGAGAGGGCAGCATCAAAGGACTGGCCATCACATGACATCAGGTAACCAATGACCACTGCCGGTGCCCGTGACACGCCAGCATTGCAGTGGACCAACACCACACCTTTCTGTGGGAGAAACAGAAATAAATGATAATATTAAAGCTGCATCAATTCATTTCAGACACGGGGGGGGCAGAAGAAGATGAAACACAGTCATAATGTCAGTATCTTCTAATAAAGTTGCTATGGCAAACGTGTCAGTTGCCTATAACCATATACAGCAGACAAAAATAAACATAATCATCCCATTAGAGTTGTTCCTATTTTTCTATATTTTGCAAACCATGATGAAGCTCAAAGATGTGTGTTTAAAGGTCCAATTGAATTCATTACGTTCTAGACCTGCTTTATTTGAAAAGTCTCTTGAGATAACTTTTGTTATGAATTGGCGCTATACAAATAAATTTTAATTGAATTGAATGAATTTAGAGACCCAACACTTCCAGTCCAATGTGGAACATTTAGGAGGATCTATTGTCAGAAATGGAATATAATATTCATAGCTATAGTTTTAGTGTTTAGGTATTAGTGTATAATAGAAATAAGAACGGTGTTTTTGTCATCATAGAATGAGCCGTTTTTATCTACAGACGCAACGGGTCACTTCCCATTGAGTCGGCCATATTGAACCGTCATGCTTCTACAGTAGCCCAGAATGGACAAACTAAATATTGGCTTTAGACAGAGGCAGTTTGAACTTTTTGCGTGTTTCACAGCCACCATAATTTCTCCTTCAAGCTTTGAAGGGGAAGGTGAAGTGAGGGAGTTGCAATCTACAACTAAATGCCTCTAAATCTTCCTTAATTGTAGTGGAATAGACAGTCCCTCCAGAAATACGCAATTATGCGATCGCATAATTCAATGCAGAATCAGCCAAAGTCCGCATATTTATGCGGGGGCTGCATTTTTTCAAATATGCCGCACTTTCGCCGCATAAATTGCCGATTTCTGCGCAAAATATGCGGGGCTTGCATGATTTCATAATCCCTGCATTTTTTTGCAAAAAAGTGACATATATCTTAGCAGAAAGTTGAAAAGTGTTGCGTTTACTTTACACAAGAGCAGCCATTTTCCCCTGTTGCCATGGGAACGTTATTAAGTGACGTAATTACGCGACGTGAACATCATCGAAAAGCTGCAAACCCCGCGATGAAGCCATGATGAAGCCCGCAAATCAGTCTCATATTTTATTTATTCATTTTTACAGAAGTTGTAGCATATTCCTTTTGTAAAGCTACAGAACTTGTTTGACTCATCAATGTTTTGTAAGTTTGAGCCATGTGTTTATTAATGTCTGAAATACAACAAGATGAGAACTTAAATATATTCTTATCATAGGAAGTAATAAGAAATGACTCTTTACATTAAGGTAGTAGCCGAGTGAGAACAGGGTGTTGGGGGAATCACTTTTTTTTCTATTTTTCATCAAACCGCAGTTTTTGCAAGTTCACGCAATTTTTGCAAGTTCACGCAATTTTTGCAAGTCCCCGCCATTTCATCGCAGAAAATTGCATAAATATCCCGCATCTTCCATCGCATTTTTTAAGAAAATGTGCCGCATAATCAATAATAATAATAATACATTTTATTTAAAAAAAGCGCTTTTCTGAATACTCAAAGACACTGTACAATATAATATAAGAAGAATACAAGAACATCAATCAGTAAAACAAAATAAAACAGTACATTACATATGTTAAAAACACATGACACTGAGCTAGATTTTAAAAGCCATTTTAAAAAGGTGTGTTTTTGTCAGTGATTTGAATATTGGAGGGTCGGTACAGTCACGGATGGGTTTGGGGAGAGAGTTCCAGAGGGAGGGGGCAGCTACAGAGAACGCTCTGTCGCCCCAGAAAAAAACTCCGCATTTTTTTGGGTTGTGTATTAAGTGCACAGTCCTAGACTTTTTGAGCCCTTTATGTACACTTTCTGTTAGTCTGCATCTCTGCTTAATTATTTAGACAGATATTACAATTGTAATTCAATTCAATTCAATTCAATTTTATTTGTATAGCGCCAATTCATAACAGAAGTTATCTCAGGACACTTTTCAAATAGAGCAGGTCTAGACCGAACTCTTTAAAACATTATTTACAGAGACCCAACAGTACCACCATGAGCAAGCACTAGGCGACAAGGGCAAGGAAAAACTGCCTGTTAAAAGGCAGAAACGTAGGACAGATCCTTCGGCTCTAGGTGGATGGTCTTCTGCCTCGACCAGCTGGGGTGAGAGAGAGAGAGAGAGACAGAGAGAGAGAGAGAGACAGACAGACAGACAGACAGACAGACAGACAGACAGACAGGTGCACAGCAACAACAGTATTGGCAATGGCAATCTAGCAGGACCATGGCAGGAGGCTCCACCAGGATCGATAAGGACCTGCAAGACGAGAAAGCACAAGAACTCCGGGGAAGAAGTGAAGTTAGTAACATGCATTAATGGGACATGAATGAGTGCAGAAAGAGAGAGGAAGAGAGGAGCTCAGTGCACCATGGGAAATCCCCCTGATAGTCTAGGCCTATAGCAGCATAACTAAGGAATGGTTCAGGACTCACCTGATCCAGCCCTAACTATAAGCTTTATCAAAGAGGAATGTCTTAAGCCTACAAGCCTACTTGAATGTGGTGAGGGTATCTGCCTCCTGAACCACAACTGGAAGCTGGTTCCACAGGAGAGGAGCTTGGTAACTGAAGGCTCTGGCTCCTGTTCTACTTTTAAAGACGATAGGAACCCAGCATTCAGAGAACATAGTGTTCTAGTGGGGTAATAGGGTACTATGAGCTCTTTAAGATATGAAGGGGCCTCACCATGAAGAGCTTAATAGGTGAGGAGGAGGATTTTAAATTCTATTCTACATTTTACAGGGAGCCAATGCAGAGAAGCTAGTACAGGAGAGATGTGATCTATTTTTCTAGTTCCTGTCAGTTCTCGTGCTGCAGCGTTCTGAATTAATTGGAGCGTTTTAATGGACTTATTGGGGCAACCTGATAATAAATAGTTGCAGTAATCCAGCCTTGAAGTAACAAATGCATGGATTTGTTTTTCTGCATCTGTCTGTGATAGTATGTGTCTAATTTTTGTAATATTACGTAAATGAAAGAAGGCAGTCCTAGAGGTCTGCTTCATGTGGGACAAAGATAACTCCAAGATTCCTGACAGTGGTGCTAGAGGCCAAGGTAATGCCATCTAGAGTAACTATATCTTTAGACAGTGAGTCTCTAAGGTTTTTGGGGCCAAGAACAAGAATTTTGTTTTTTTCTGACTTTAACATCAGAAAATTGCAGCTCATCCAGGATTTTATGTCCTTAAGACATGTTTGTAATTTAGATAATTGATTAATTTCATCGGGCTTGATCGATATAACTGCATATCATCTGCATAACAGTGAAAGTTAATGGAGTGATTCCTAATAATGTTGCCTAAAGGGAGCATATGTAGAGTAAATAGTATTGGTCCAAGTACAGAACCTTGTGGAACTCCATGTAGTGTTTATTGAAGATTCATCGTTAACATGTACAAACTGCGAACGATCTGATAAATATGACTTAAACCAGCTTAATGCGGTTCCTTTAATAATGTAATATGATTCACAATTAGTGGGAATGATCACAATTTTCATTTTCACTGAAAAAACTATTAAAATCATGATGATGTGACATTTGTTGAAGTCTGTACCAAACAAATCTTAAATCTGAAAAACAAGATTTTTAGGTCAGGGCATCTCTTCAGTACTACAGCACTTGCTGCTTCTGCGATTTGGATATTGCTCTTGGTCATATTGCGATTTTTTTAATATATATTTAAATTAATTGTGCAGCCCTAGTCTTTTGATGACAGGATTTTGACTTTAAATATGTTAGCCAGTGTTTATGGCTTCGGGGGAGAATCGGGCCAGTGAGAGGAAATATGAAGCAGCTAGGATTCAAACATAAATTGCAATGACACTCTCTGGACACTGGAGGACTCTACAGACCAATAGAACAGAGTTGATTTCAGCATGTGGAGCTGAGCTTCACACCACAACAGGCTTCATCACTCTTTGGATCCCCATTAGCTTCTCCATTACCGCCTCCATTTTCCTTCACATGGAAAGTTCACAGCTGTGTCCCAATTATCGGGCTGGGCCTCACAGCAGCCAGAACCAAACTGCTATCAAGCTTCTCATCTGACTACTGGAGGACGGAAAACAAGAGCTTCTACCAAAATGTCAAAATCTTCCATCAGAACAGACTGTTCACAGATTCAGTTTCAGCCAATTTTGTATTCATTATTTTCACCAAAAGCAAAAAAGCTGACAAAAAACGTTTTGTGATTTTAGATGAGAATATCTGTGCAAACCTGAACATTCAGGTAAAACCAGACCTGACTATTAGAATTTAGATACAAGCCCAAAAACAATTAAAAAATGGTTAAAACCTTAAAAAATGTGGGTACAAAGAGGTACACATTAGAAAATGTAACCCAAATAATTTAGTGGTGTAACCATTCCTAAATGTAAAAAATATTAAAAAAGGACCCAAAAATGTGAGCAGGGTATAACTCAAGAATTTATTTAAGAAAAGATTTTTTCACAAAACTCGAGCCATAAATCGTTGTACAATGCTGAAAACTGTGGTACACCAGTTTATGTATTTGTGCTGCAGTCATGATGCTGTGGCAGTTGCTCCTTTCGTTGTCATGACAGCATTAATAACTGAGGGTCTTTACCAGCCAGATGGCCTGCTGGGTAATCTGACCCTGCATTTCGAAGTAAAAGCATCAGTTTGATTATCAGGACTGGAATTACCCCATACACACACAGAAACATACCATAATGAACACACACACTTCCTGAAATCATACACCCCTAATGACTGCCTAATGACTCGCTCTGTGTGTGTGTGTGTCTGTGTGGTTGTGGTGTCATGTTAAGGTGAGCCACAGGCTTTGCTGCTAAAAGGTTGTATGACACTGAGATCTGATCTGTGTGCAGTTTAATAAAACATGAACAAAACTAAACATATATTATTCAAAACAGAGGAGAAGAGAAGAGAGGAGAGGAGAGGAGATGTCAAAACATCAGTCAACCTTTCCTTCATTTTAAGATCCTTACATCTGTGTCCTTCTTCCCATAATCCCTTGGCCTTATGGGATTGTTTCTCATTGTTGGACTTGATCTGGTTATTTGGTTTCAGGGCTGTAGTGGGTGTAACTGCCATGTGCGTACCTTTTTAAATACAACATAGCAATTACTCACCGTTTTATGATGGGTTACTCATGGTGATTGCACAATTTTTGTGTTTGGGTCAAACTCAACAGGAGGGAGGTACAGGGGGAGCTGACCCTTCTCTCTTCTGTACACACACCCACATATGTAAACACACCCCATACACCCACATACTCACACACACACACTATTTCTACATCATTTTATGTTGTTTTTGTCTAACATACTGTATATTGCTTACTTTAAGTTTGCCGGTTGATTTTGTGTGCTGTTCGTTTACTTTTGTAGATAACATGACTTTATCTGCTTATAACGGTCACTGAGGTAAGATTATCTTCAGCAACCCTGTAGGAGGGTTTAAATCTCACAGTCTGCACACAGTTTGCTTCCTTTCTCTTGTTTGTGAATCTGCTGTTTTGTTTGATATGTATCTAGGGCATGAACAAAAACAACCAATCAGAGCCAAGATGGATGGTCTCATTCCCAGATCATCAAATACCGAAGCTGGGAATGAGACTCAACTATCAACTTTTTCATCATCATCATCATTACCATCATCATGAATCAATATCTTCAAGCCACCAACCACAAGTGTCTTCTATCTTTCTCGGCTCTGATTGGCTGTTTTCCTTCAGGCCCGGTGGATTCCTGCAAATGCCATTAGGAGCCCTAGGAGGAGTCAGAGGAACCTGATTGTTTCACAGATTATCTGTCTCATGTACTACTGTCAGGGTGTAGTGAAAGTTTCAGCAAATATGACAAAAAGTTTGCAGCTTTAATAAAAAAATATCACGGTTTGGGTTAAAATAGGTAAGTTATATCAGCTGGTCAGTTATATCAGTTACATACATAAGTTGGTGATACCAGTTTTTTTTTGGAATAACATGCTGGTAAATATATTACTATTATAGGAAAATAGAAACAGAGACAAGGTGAGTGATTGCAGACAGGATGTTTAAAGAGAATACACATTCTTCCAAATGTTGAATGTTAACAGTGGAGCTGAACCGATTTGTCAATTGTCAAAAGTCAGTTTGAAAAGTGATTAGTGGTTTTCTCATTCTAGCTTCTCAGATGTGAGGATTTGCATCTTTTCTCTGTTTTCTATTACTCCTAGGGTTTTAGGACTGTCTGTTAGACATTTGGCTATATTTGGAGACATTTTATATTACATTTTATTTTATTTTTAGAATTAATTGTGTTATGTGTTACCTCACTGTGAGCCTGCTGGATAAAGTCACAACAGTCCTGGAGGTGAAGCAGTACATCGGCGTCAGGATGATCCAGAATACTGACAGTCTTATAGATGAACAGGTCAGGAAACACATTCTCCACCCCGAAGGCCACATTCAGGATGTGAGACACCTGAGGAAGAAGAGAAGGAGGAGACTTTATTGTGATATGATTGTGTATTGTCAAAGTTGATGTGTTAGAAGCAGGGTGAGGATTTGAGCGACTTTGACAAGGGCCACATTGTGATGGCTAGACGACTGGCTTCAGAGTATCTCCAAAACTGCAGCTCTTGTGGGGTGTTCCCGCTCTGCAGTGGTCAGTACCTATCAAAAGTGCTCCAAGGAAGCAAAAGAACCAGAGACAGGGTCATGGGTGACCAAGGCCCATTGATTCATGTGGGGAGTGAAGGCTGGCCCGTGTGGTCCGATCCAAGAGACAAACTACTGCAGCTCAAACTGCTGAAACAGTTAATGCTGGTTCTGAAAGGCAGGTGCATAGCCTCAGACCAGTCAGGGTGCACATACTGACCCCTGTCCACTGCCGAAAGCACCTACAATTAAGCACCAGAACTGGACCACAGAGCAATTGAAGAAGATGGCCTGGTCTGATGAATCACGTTTTCTTTAACATCTTAAATCTTGGCCAGGTACATGTGCGTCGCTTACCTGTGGAACACATGGAACCAGGATGCACTATGGGAAGAAGGCCAGCCAGCAGAGGCAGTGTGATGCTTTGGACGATGTTCTGCTGGCAAACCTCAGGTCCTGCCATTCATGTGGATGTAACTTTGACAAGTAGTACCTACCTAAGCATTGTTGCAGACCATGTACACTCTTTCATGGAAATAGTATTCCCTGATGGCAGTGGCCTCTTTCAGCAGGATAATGAGCCGTGCAAAGCAAAATGCTTCAGGAATGGTTTGAGGAACACAACGAGTTCAAGGTGTTGACTTGGCCTCCAAATTCCACAGATCTCAATCCAATTGAGCATCTATGGGATGTGCTGGACAAACAAGTCCAATCCATGGAGGCCCCACCTCACAACTTACAGGACTGATATTAAAACTAAATATTACAGGAAATGCAAAACTTATTTTAAATTACATTTCAGCGTTTAAGTAATTTCATAATATATATAGATAGTATTATATGTTTGTAAATACATTTTAAGTACATTGTAAGTAAAGTATATACATTACATCTGTTGCATTGCTTATCCTTATGTAACATTTTTCATTTGTATGGTCCCCGTTAAATAAACAAGTAAAGCCTTTTAGTGCTCAAACCAAAGCAATGGCTGATGTATGGAGAAGGACTGTTGTGGTTTACAGTTCAGTTTAAAAAGAACCTCACCTTGTGTTTTCTTAGAGTGCCAAAGTCATGTGCAGCATCTTGAGAACCTACACACACACACACACACACACACACACACACACACACACACACACACATGCATAGTGAATTAGTAAGTTAGGTCAATTCAATTCAATTAAATTTTATTGGATAGTGCCAAATAAATTATCTCAGGCATCAAAAAAAAGGTCTAACCATACTCTTATTTATATACAAATTTGTATTTGTTTTGTATTTTTGATGAGCTGAAATTTCCTGATGCTAAACTAAAAAAAAAAAAAAGTTCTTGTAGTGTTCTTGGCCCCAAACACCTCAGAATTTTCACCTCAGAATTGAATTTTGGCACAGGATGCTAAACAAAAAGCTAATGCCCGCTCTACTACAGGTCACGGGGTCATGTATCTTCTACCTGTGAGTGAGCCCTGATGGGTCATGTCTCCACCTGTCCTCCCCCACATCTGTGCTCAAGTTACCCTGTGAGCTGGCAGTTACCTGTGTTGGTGGACTGAAGGTGACTTTGAGGACAGGGTGTGGGGGGCTTGGGGAGCTGGTGGAAAACATCCACTAACTGGGCCAACTAGGTGGGTCATGGCTCTTTTTCATCTTTCTTAAAGATGAATATTGGTTGTAGGTGGAAGTAGACAAGCCACCATTACTGTAAACCTGTATATAACACTGTAATGTTTAGAAAGAATTAGATTTTTTTCATTTGCATTCAAGAATCGGTCTGAACCAATTTAAGGGTTATAATCTAGAAAATGTACACTTACCAGCCAAACTGAGTCCAGTTTTGACTAGGGATAGAGATTAAAAATAATTTCCATCTTCGATTACCCTCACTGAATTATTATTGAGTACTCGCATAAAAGAAATCTAACGCAACAGAGTCTAAAATAAACACCCAAATGAAAAAGCTGTTGGGGTTAGTGTTTTCTTACCTTTCTGCACTGCACTGACTGTACAGATTATTCAGTAATTCAATACAAAAAAGCAATGGCTAGTTTACTTTTTCATCTGAAGCCACCTTGGCCCGTAGGCTGCAGTACAGCCCTCAATTTCACCGTGCTTTCCTCAGACAAAGCTTGCACTGCACTTTCATTTTGTCTATTTCTTTGAAGTATTTACAAACATTACTTTTATACCCAGTCACCATTCTAATTATAGCATTAGCTGAGTGATCGAATGTAACTACTTTGTAACTCAGTTATGAGATGGACACAAATTGAGACAAAAATGACTGAAGGTGGATTTTTTGTCTAGTGACACAACTATAGTTCAGTCAGACAACTTACGTTTGAAATGTTTATTACAGCTGTATAGCATATTTAAATTTTGGCATCTAGACTCTGACCTCATCATTCCCCGCAGAGCAGAGGGAGAGCTGGGAAATTGTGCAGTTTAAATAGACCGCCAGATTGGAAGGGTGAGCTTGGTTAGCGATTATGGAGTGAGGCATGTCATGTGTGTATAGCAGCGCAGCTCGAGTTGACTGCCTGAACTAGCTCGCAGGCTTCACTCCTTTAGTGGTCAGTTTGGTTGACAGTGGTTTACCATGTTGTTGAGTCATATCATGTTCACTCACCCAGCAGCAGGTAGGGCCTGACAGTGCCGATCTGCAGGTCCCAGGAAGTGTCAGGTACATATCCCAGCATCTTCTCTGGAGGGGTGGGGTCTTCAACTACAGTGATCGTAGAACCCTTCCAGGTCTCGATGATGCGACGGCCGCTCAGTGATGTCACACGGGTGCACTGTTTCCTTAGCCGTGACCGAGAGAAGCTCTGGATCTCCTCAGTCAGGGGCTGCATGACTAGACCAGACTGGAATGAGCTAGACTGCACTGAACTGGACTGGGCTGGAGTGAACCTTAAAAGATAAATGAATAAAGTTAGCTAAATGATATTTATAGGAGATATATATGGTGTGTATGAGGATGAGGTATATAGAAAATAACAGATGAGGTGAAAGTGAAGTACATCTCAAAAAAACAAGTGTCAGCAGTCATGCTATGAGCTCTGCCAGGCTGTACTGACCTAAATGCTAATGTCGGCATGCCTATGTGGTCACAGCGAAGATGCTAATATGCTGATGTTTAGCAGGTATAATGTTTACCATGTTCACCATCTTAGTTTAGCACGTGTATGTGTAAGTACACCCCTCAATTCTGCTAGCTTCCTCCCTCTCAGCAAATTTAAAGAATGACCTGAAAAGGACAGCCACTTTAGAGGGGTTGGCCTCAACACCAACCACAGTGACTGACAGACCACTAGCATAAACTCCTGTTAATAATGTGCATTAATAACGCAGCGGTTTCACTGACTCCCACTCAAAGCAAAGGCTGGGGGAGGTGCGCCGCCCTCCTCTGATTAGACGGTGTTAACACTGGCTTTATAGAAATGGTTTGACATCTTTGTATTTGTCTTAAAACGAACAGGTTGATTTAAAACAGTAGAGGGCATGTTAAACCATTTTTTAAACCACAAAATGCAGATTTTCATACATTTGGTAATAATTAGTGTTTCATTACAGAATAGTGATATAATTCAGTTTAAAGCTAAAAAAAACCATGTAAATTAACGATCCACTTAAATATCTTAACATGACTATGACTGATGGATAGGCACAAAACTGTGTACATTCATTGTCCCTAGACACTATATCCTACAAAACTTGGTGATCCTTGACTTTTCCTCCAGTTCAACCATGTGGTTGAAATGTATGGTTTTGTGACAACTATTGACTGGATTGTTATGAAATTATGCACATATTCCCCTCAAGATGAACTGTAATCACTTTGGTGACCCTCTGATCTTTCCTCTAGCACCATCATCAGGTCAAAATTTGTCCAATACTTTGCTTTATGATTTACAGGTCCATTATCTACAGTAGCCCAGACAAAATGAACATTTTCACCTTTCACAAGTTTCGTGGCCACCAAAGTTTCTCCTACACGCCTGGTATTCAGTTGGTTGCAAACTGCAACCTCACCACTAGATGCCACTAAATCCTCAGCACTGGTCATTTAATACTAGAAAAACTAATTACATTCCTATCGGCCTCATCTGTACTTTTTTGTTCTAATTATCAAACATTAGCATTCTTATATGCTAAACTAAGACGGTGAACATGAATTTCTGAGGGTGTTATTCCACAAGAAACAAACAGTTATTAGTTAAATAGGTAAGCCATTAATGAGTTTTTTTACATTAGCATAATGTGCGGTATCTGTATTATTGTTACGGTTCCTTTCAGGACTAAAACAGTGTTTGAGGACACACAAACCAGAGAGCAAGAGTATGTCCAGTGGACACAGTGATGAATGAACATTGTGTTGTCACAATGTAAAGGTGGACAATACAACATAAACTCTAAACTCTTAAATGAGCAAGTTAAAAAGTCATCACCCTAATGAATGGTAGTTGTGAGTAATCATTTCATGATTGTCTTGGCCAAAATAGTTGCAATACACAATATTATTACAGTAATCATGAAAATATACTTACCATACTTTCAAAATGGCACTAAAACACACTGGAATCACTATACCTTCCATTTTATTAAGTAACACATATTTGTTGCATCACAGACCGGAACCTCATTCCCTCACATTTCCACACATCCGGTTTAAGTTATTTTTGTGGGGGATATAACGGGCAAGCCGAGCCTTCAGCCATGGGATTTTGAAATGACTGGAAAAATGTGAGCTCCTCTTGTCCCTTTGTTCAAAATAAATCAGGAAATCAATATAGGACTTTATGCTGGAGAGCTAGACAGCTTCTTCCGGTCAAGCCATGTGAAGATATTTCCAATTATCACAATAGTGGAAATTCACCACAATAATTTATCAGAGTGTTTTTTTATTCCGATATGCGATAATATTGTATATCGTCCCATCCCTAGTGATTATCCTTAATGTGGATAAGATGACAATCATATAGATTGAGATAATCACTGTTCATTAACAATAACCAGTGAAATAAACATGATATACAGTATATACCATATGTATGATTTACTGTATATGATAAAAACCTGTTTCTTTAGATGTTAAGCTTAGGTCCAGCTTGGCTCAGAATGCCCCTGCTTCAGCTGGTGGCAGATAGTCCACTTTAAAGACTGGTGATCCAGTTCAATTTCCAGAATAGAAACACACTTCTTCCCTCATCATCTTCTGTTCCAAAGAAACAGTAAGATGTCCAGTCTGGTCCAGGTTCCTCGTGCCGACTGAACCTAATCCACGTTAGACCAGGTCCAGAAAAAATCCACTCTTACTAGCTGTAGTCCTATAGTCCACCTGTACCAACTGAGTTAAACTGTGAACTGGTCTGACTCTGCTGGAGGTAAGACGCTGAAGTGATGTGTAACATGAAACCTGCTTCAGTCTGTCTGTCTGTCTATCTGTCTATCACTAGTGTTAATCATAGTGACAAGTACAGTACAACCAAATGCAGACCAAGTCAATGAAATTAAACATTATTTAACATATATGATGAATAAACCATACTGTATGGCATGTTTTGTTGTCTGCACTCTTTCTTTGATCTCATAAAAAACAACAAATAACACATAAAACCCCTTTTTTAAATCTGATGACGTTATGAAATAATAATAACATCAGGCTAACAGTATAGAAAAGATTGAAATTGAATGGGCATATTGGTGGAGGAAGATTGCTGTGTGGTCCACAGGAGGGAGCCACATTGCTACTTTTTGAGGATTTCAAGTCAGTAAGTGCAGCTGATAAACCAGATAAAACAAATACATTTAGTTTGAAATGTTCTTTTCATAAAGAAAGGTAGTAATACAAACTGAATAAATGAAAAACATATTCCTTATTTATATTAATAATAATATTTCTTTATTTATGTTGCACTTATCAAAGCCAATTGTCCTTCATTTCTAATAATAGTTGCTGTAATGTTATAGGCCAGCAGTGTTGGGCAGTAACTCATTACTACTAATAATATTACTTTCCCAGTAACTAATAGTGTAACTAATTACTGTTGGCAGGAACCCACTAGGGGTCGTCAAAGCTTCACAGGGGGTTTTTTAACTTCAGGGATGTAGGAAAATGTTAAAAATATACACGTTTATCAGCATTGTAGCAGCATAAAGTAAAAATACATAATACGGACTTCCCTACAGAGTTCCCTTAAAATATCAGAAAAGCTCATCTCTAATTGCTCAGTTATTGCGATATATATTGTGCAATATTTGTGTTCATTGTACAGTTTATCTGTTGTTCTGTACTGTTAATGTTTTGCATTGAATATAATATGAAATACCCATAAAATGTCACTTAGTCAGTTTACTCAGTGATAGAAAAGAGCTCCCTTAAGGAGAACAGTTGGGGACCACTGCCCTAGCCATCTCACTTCTCATGCCTAAACCTGACGGGGATCCTAATATACAAATTACTAATAATTTAATAACATTAATAACAAACTTCACGTGTATATTCATATACAACCCCGTCTGTAAATGATAATCTACCTTTTAACCTTGTAGACCGTCCATCAGGAGTCCAACAATGTTGCTATAATCAGGGCCCTGACCTTCCCTGCACACACATTTCACATTTTATCTCCATTATACGTCTTTGTAGAAACATCAGTAATTGTTGTAGATTACTTGCTGTCCTTCACTCTGTGTGTGTGTGTGTGTGTGTGTGTGTGTGTGTGTGTGTGTGTGTGTGTGTGTGTGTGTGTGTGTGTGTGTGTGTGTGTGTGTGGACAGCTGCAGTCTTATTTATGTTGGAAAAGATTCTGGTAGTTTCCAAGAATATTTCCACATACAGAGAGAGAGAGGGAGGGAGAGAGAAACCGTTTTCTGGCTGAAATTGGACCTTTTCATTCCCCCAACACACACACACACACACACACACACGCACGCACACACACACACACACACACACACACACACACACACACACACACACACACACACACACACACACGCACACACACACACACACACACACACACACACACATACTCAAAGAGAGAGGGAGAGACAGAGAAAGAGAGAGAGAGAGGGTCAGATTTCTACAGAAGTTTGTTTTTGCATCTCAGAAAGAGAAGAAGATAGGAAACAAGGAGAAGAGTAGAAAAAGGGGGAGGAAAAGGGAGGAGAGAAAACAAGGAGAAAGTAGCAGAGGAGATTAAACAAGGAGAAAAGGGAAAAAGAGAGAAAATAAGGAGAAAAAAGGAGAGGAGATGAGAGAAAAGGAGATGAAACAAGGAGAAAATATGAGAAGTGATTATACAAGGAGAAAAGAACAATGAGAAAATAATGAAAACAATGAGAAAATAGGAAAAGGAAAAAAGGGAAAAACAGGCAAGAAGAGGAAACAAGTAGAGGAGATGAGAGGAGAAGGGTTTTTGGAATGTGCGTTCACTGTGCATGCGTGCGTGTGTTCCACTGATAAGATTATCCTGCCAAATGTGAGGGCCTTTTACGTCAGAAACACAAACACACTTGCAGAGGTGAATTCATGAGAACCAAGAGAACAAAAGCGAAAGAGGGAAAGAAAAAAACTGAGAGGAGGAAAGAAGGAAGGAGGAAAGAAGGAGTGAAGGAGGGATGGAAGGGAAAGTGCTGACTCAGTTCTTTGCATGTTGATCCATGAGTCAGAAAACCCGGAGAGACCTTGTATGTGTGTGTGTGTGTGTGTGTGTGTGTGTGTGTGTGTGTGTGTGTTGGCTGTAACTCAAGCCTAACATGGGAAGCTCCTCCAACATCTGACAACCATTACTGCTATCACACACACACATACACACAGTGCTGTTTCAGTTTGCAGCGTCATATTCAACTTTAATGGTCCAATAACACAACTGTTAATGCAGCAAGCCTGCCAGGGTCAAAGGTCAACACCAGCCAGTGAAGCAGTCAGTCAGTAACACAATTACATAGAAAGAAAGAAAGTTTTTTATTGTCATATTCACAGTATATATAGATCATTTACAGCACTTTTACATACATGAAATGAAACTTGGCCTACATCTCCATCAGTCAGTTCATTGGTCAACAGTTACTGAAGCAGATCATACATTGGTTCAAATGGAGCTGTTGACACTCCATTAACATGACACATGACAGCAGCCTTCTTGCAGGGCATGCTGGGAGATGCACTTAGTTAATTTCTGCCTTTAGGCTCTCACATCAAAACAATGACAAAACACAACGTTGGATGACCTTGTGAAGTAGTGTGGGATCATGGGAGTTGTTGTCTTCACCACCACCATTGCAGTCACTGCTGTCAGCTTCTCTCTGTTAGGATTCCTTCGGTGTTCATGGTTCAGGCGGTTTCTACCGGGAGCCCAATGATCCACAGAGGTCTCCTCCTCTCCAAAACAGTACTGTTACTTTTCACTACTGGCCTGATGATCCTTCTGAAGGACAGTGGAGAATCAGGATGGGTCAGGTCCATCAGAGAACCCTGATTTCCAATACAGTCCAGATGACACAGTCTGATGAGGTCCCAATGATTTCATCAACCAACTGAGGAAACGCCTGTATTTTAGAACCCTGGCTCAGCTACATGGTGGATCACTGGTCAGCACAACCACCTCACAGTAAGTCCTGGAGTGAAATCCACTGGCCAGCCCCAGCAGGTGCCAGGTGATTTGGCAACTCAAACTGTCTTTAAGTGTGATTGTGAGATGCTATCTTAGCATGAAGACTGAAGGCAGGTGGTAACAGACTCAGAGTCTTTGGCTCTGGGCTGCTAGTACTTTCAGGTAAATGCTAACATCAGCATGCTAACATGCTCACAATGACAATGCTAACATGCAAATATTTCATAAGTTGGTTTAAGAGAATTAGCCAGAGAATCACCAAAATTCCTGGAACAAAATGTTCTGACAATCCATCCAATAGTTGCTTAGAAGTCCGGACCAAAGTGGTGAACTGACAACCTGAAAGACATTGCCCCTTACAAACAAACCCCTTACCTCACACAAACAAATGGCTCTGTCTCACACACACGCATTGCAATGCTACTGACGTAATGCACAGGTTCATCACACAGACCCATTCTTCTGTAGCACTACACAGCCCTGAAACCCCTCCAATTCATCTTGGACCTGGCTCCCTGGTGGCCATTATATAGAATGCAGCTTAAAGACACTTCCACGCTGGCTTCATTTACAGACTCACAGACCATCCCAGAAGCTCTATGATATGTAGTTAGAACGAGCTCATGGAGCAGCTACATCATTAAATTACTGCTGTAACAGTGACACATCAGTATTAACATTCTAGTAATGTCAGATAGAATCATATATCAATCACAGGGGGCATTTTACTGCAGTACAAGTAGGCTACTTTTACTTTTCTAACTAAAAATACTTGTGTACCTTTACTTAAGTATAATTTAAAATTCAGGACTACTGTAATGAACTAGGCTATTTTTATATTATTTTATTGGTACATAAGTAAATGATGTGAGTACAAAGCACTGATTTCATGAACTGTAATGACACAGCTTTTAACGGCTTTACTGGTGTTGACTTTTCATCTAAAAGGAATCTATCTTTTAGCAGGGAGGATAAGAGGAGAGGAGAGGAGAGGAGAGGAAAGGAGGGGGGAAGAAGAGAGAAGACAGGAGAAGGTAAAGGGGGAAAGAAGAGGAGAGGTGAGGAGGGGAGTGGCAGAGAAGGAGGGATAGAGGAAGAGGAGGAGGTGAAAAGTCTGAATAAGAAAGCAGCTCCTCCCGCTTCCTCGAGCTGCCCGCAGACCGGACAGCAGCGGCACCAATCAGCAGGAAAACCACGTCCTTATTTGGATTAAACCCACCGTGAATGAGTGACACTCCACCGGAGCACCGACACTGACTTCAGCATCCCCTCTCTCATCCGACCGACATGCTCTCCCCGGGACTCTCCGTGTCTCTGCTGGCCGTGTCCTGCGCGCTGTGGCCGGCTGCGGTCCGGGCGGCGTCCTGCGAGTCGGTGCGGATCCCGCTGTGCCGGTCCATGCCGTGGAACATGACCAAGATGCCGAACCACCTCCACCACAGCACACAGGACAACGCGGTCCTGGCCATCGAGCAGTTCGAAGGACTGCTGGGTGAGTTACTGCCAGTCTCTTCACTAATGATCCCGCTAATTAATTCGTTAATGGACTTAATTAACCCTTCTTAAACAGACATATTGTGCCACCAGCTCAAACTCATTGTTACAGGTAATGTTAGACCTATCCAGATCATATACATATTTTGTTGTGGTTTTATTTTTTCACATCTCCTACTTTTGTTAGGCAATTAAAGTTTATTTACCATCTTTCAAAAAGGCAAATTCCCACAATTTATATTGACATAATAGCCTACCTAAAAGGCATTCAGGCTGCAGTAGGTAACTTTTATTAAAATAACTTTTTGTCATATTTTCTGAAACGTTCAGTATATCCTGACAGTAGAACATGAGACAGATAATATGTGTAACAATCAGCTTCCTCTGGCTTCTCCTAGTGCTCCTGATGGGATTTGCTAGAATTCGCTGGGCCTGAACGAAAACAACCAATCAGAGCCAAAATTCTGATCAGTTGTTTAAATCTTTGTTTAAGCAACAGTGCCTAAAACCTAATTGGTTTCAGCTGGGCAAGAGTCTCTAGTTAACTGTAATTGTAACGTGAATATGTTGGGTTTTGAACTGACTATTTTCTGACAATATGCAAAGCAAATGATGAATGCATTCATAAAAAAAAAACCCTACAAACATTATTTAATAGTAAAAATAATCATTACTTTCAGCCCTAAAGTATTTTATGAACTAATAGCATAGCCTAAACAGTAGACGGATCATGACAAGCATTAGCATATTAATTATAATTTATACATCATTACTATATAAAATGAATTAATGTATAAATATATATCAAAATATATTCGATGGTAAAAGTGGCTCCAAAGGGTAAAAAAAACTAAAGGTCTGATATTTTTGAATAATGAAATTCTTTTTAATTTACTCCTTTACTACTGTCACTACCAGGCAGCCTCTGAGGCATCATCATCCTCCTCAGTGCCATCAACTGCTTTAATGATCAACAGAAAGTAAATTGGCAACCATTTTCATCATCGATTCATTGTTGTTCTTCTAGCAAAAACACCAAATATTTTGTGGTAAAAGAAATAAAATCTCTACATACACAGAGTTTTGGTTTATTTGACTTGATTTTGAGATATCTGTCTCTGAGTTTTCACCCCATACAGTGAATATGAATGTGAGACTAGCAATAGTGTCTCTGTTATGTTTTATAATCAATAGAACACACCATCAGCAGATTTCAGTGAGACTACTTTCTTCCAAAGAAACATGAAAATAGTTCACAGTAATGGGGACAAAGTTTCTGGGAAGAGATGCTGTTGTTTAATATTTTCACTGGATACTGTCACATTACACTACCATCCTGCCTGTTTTTGTCTCTGATTCACTTTGATAAAATCCAGGGTGACTGACAAATTTGAATTTAAGTTGCAACGTAATCTCCTGGCCAGCTCCAGCAAACTCACAGATCAGAGTTTGCATTTGTTTAACTTTTACCGTGTGTGATGATTGGCCAATAGAAACACTGATGCGCTGTATTAGGAAATTAAACTTAGTTTCAAAGACAGCAGATAGACCACGTTGGCTTCACTTTTCAGACCCGGAAGCTCCGTCCATTTTTTTATATATATATATATATATATATATATATATATATATATATATATATATATATATATATATATATATATATATATATATATATATTATCAAATGTCTGGATGGACGACAAGTAGGGTTTTACTTAGAGTGACCCTGGACTATGGGTATCCAAATCTCAAGAAAACATTGATTGGAAATCATGTCGGTCAAACGACACATATTTTGGAGGCATGGCTATTTGCTGAAAATGTAATGGTCATGCGCAAATTGGAGCCATGTTGTCACCATTTTCACAGCACAGGTGTATTGGCACTAGTGTGCTTGGCAACAGTAAGGGTGGTGTTTCCAAAAGATTGCACTATAAGAAAGGTTTTTGTTTCCAGGCCCCCGAAATGGCCTTATCGTGTGAAAAAGAGGTCAAACTGCAAGAAAACTTTAGTTTTAGTTTTTTTTTTTGCAAAAATGTTGTATACAGGGCCTAATACATCCACACCATTTAGTACCATGTAGAACAATGTGAAAATAATTCATTCATTTCACAATATTAACAATTAACAATCATCAAAATATACTTAAAACTCTGAAAATCATACTGGAACCACTGTACCTAAAGTAAATCAGGAAATCAATATAGGACTGTGCGTGAGCTAGACAGCTTTTTCAAGCCACTAATGTGAGGATATCGATGATTATCCTGATAATGGAACGATAAACTTTTCTGTTTTTTATTGTGATAGACGATAAAATTATCCCATCCCTGGTACCCTGATAGCTGGGTGTGGTCACAGAATCACAATAAGACCACACCTGATCACAGCTGCGATGGTGTGTGTATTGACTCAGTGAAGCTGTTTGCCCTCATTCTAATATCAAAGCGTAATTTATAACTAAGAAGTAGCAAGGTTTTACTGCTCCTGTTTCACCTCTGAACACAGCCAGCAGGTGTCATAGGCAGTGTCCTGCCTGGGGCTTGACTTTGTCCCCACAGATAGGGCTTTTCCACCAACGGGGAACCAGCTCCGTTCTCGTTCAAAAACCTCGTTTCGAACCATTTGCATTTTGACCAAAAACAAATTGGTTTTGAAACTGAAAAGTTGGTTCTCAGCTGGAACCAAAAAATATCAGGTTTTCCTTTAGAAACAAAGTGGGCATGTCATATTCTACAGGTTGTTGTGCATTGTACATTGTTGTTTATGCATCTGATTATGGTTCCACTCAAAAGTGGTGGAAACACAGGCTGGCTCAATAGATAACACCAAGGTTCCAGGAATCTTGAACAGAACCTGTTGAAGAACCAGAACTAATTTGGTGGAAAAGGGGCCAAAGTGACAAGTCATTTCCAACAGATTCCAGATTAATATCTACTGGAGGAATAAAACGGTTTGCTGCTGGAGCTGTGTTGGATCTGGTCTGAACCTTGGCAGCAAACCTCAAACCATCAGTTCACTTAAGAGATCACGGAACATTTTTTTGTGGAAGCCATTATTCTGATTGAGTTTACTCTAAAAGGGAAACATTGGCTCCTATAGCAGCAGTCAGTGACAAAGCAGCCATATTTTGAAGAGTTGGTCAGAGTTTCAGCCCACTGTTGGTTTGAATATAGCCCTGATCCAGAACGGTCTTACCGCATATCCCTGCCCTGGATAGTTACTGAAGGAAAGTAAACATTTCAGTCACTAAGGCTTTCATAAAATTAGTTATAGGAAGGATGTTGAAACTGTCTGAGCACTAACTCAAAGGCAACTGGATGAACATCAGTTCAGTTGTCCAGACAAAATGATAAGTCCAGTTGTCAATTCAATAGGGAGAACTATCTACACATATTATTTACCTTATTTACTAGCCTGCTGACTTTCTTATTAGATCCTGGAAAGGTGTCACAATGTAAAGGCTCATAACATGAAAACGGTTGAAAACTGGAAATTGAGATCAATTTCTTCTTGTGTCTGACTAATATATTCAATTATTAAAATTTTAGGACAAGTTAAAGCAGCAAATTCTCATACTCGAAGAGCTGGAACCATCAGATATTTAGCAGGTTTTGCAAAAAAGAATTCTGAAACTTTAACTTTCACTGACATAGATGGGTTGTTTTCGTTCAGACCCGGTTGATTTTTTTCACATACCATTAGGAGAACTAGGAGGAGCCAGAGGAATCAGGTTTTTTCACAGATTATCTGTCTCATGTACTACTGTCAGGATATAGTGAAAGTTTCAGCAAATGTGACAAAAATATTTTATAACAATTAGTTACTGCAGCTTTAAAGGACAATTCCGGCGCAAAATGAACCTGGGGTTAATAACACATGTGTACCGAGTTGGTCCGTTCTCTGGGATATGTTTTCATGCTAATCGACCGTGACCGGTTTTAGCACAAACCGCTAATTAGCTTATAACGCTAGTCAACAGGGCACAGAGTAACGTGAAAAGAAATCGCTTTTTATACCACTAACAAGACTCAAAATAACACCACACTTACACGGTAGCATAATGAGGGCCCCTACCTATAAACCGAAGCATTGAGAACTTTGTAAGTGTACAGACAGTTTATTAAAAAGATAGTTTAGAACAACAGTAGCGTTCGCGTATACAGGCGGGCGCCATCTTGGGAAAACAGTCAGGGGTTAGGTCATTCATGCAGATCAATGATCAAGATTTACAGCTGGCGATGTGAACTAAAACAAACGTAATTTGCTCAATATATCAGAAATAATCACATCGATGTAAAACACAACTTGTCTAGTGTACTTACTCAGTGGACAACTGTCCATCTGGTCCCTCCGGTATGAGTCGCTGCCTCCAATTTATTTTCGGGACATGGGAAAAAGTTTCGAGTACAGCTCTGTTTATCAGAGAGAGGAAATCTTCAGACTGTACAAAACACTGCGTCTCTTGGGTGTCGCAACGCAACAGGTCCCACTCCGTGCAACACAGGCAAACACAGATATATGTACAATATATACAAAATAAATATATAAAGAATAATCAAATTAAAAACAAATTAAATAACAAACGTCCTGTAGAAATTCCTTGGACTGGATGGCGATCGTGTGCCGGGATGTACCGCGAAAAGACCAGAAACTGCGTCAAAAACAGCGTTCGGGTCCGAGTTCTAATACGTTAGCTTCACAATGTCCGCAGGTACACCACCAGTTTCCCGAAGTACGAGGCTGTGTTGCGGCATTGACTACCGGTAGCTCTCTCTCTCTCGTAGCCCTTTCACGGAGCTCCCGCAGCTCTTTGTCTGTATATTCCGGCTCGAAAAGATAAGGACGTCCATCAAACTGAAAGGGTTCGTTGTCGATTCAGTTGAATAATCCGCCATCTCTTTAGTGTGTATCCTGTGGAAGCACTAGTCTCTGTTGCATTCAGTGCTTCTCTTATGCGCTCAGTGCTTTCTTCCGGCAACAACGTTTCCACAGAGATGTGAAGTGAATCTCGCGTGAAATGTTGTTGCCGGAAGAAAGCACAGACGAAGAGCTGCGGGAGCTCCGTGAAAGGGCTACGAGATATATATATATATCCCAGAGAACGGACCAACAAACACGTGTGTTATTATGGTGCTATCCATTTGTCCCGAGTTGGAAAGTGTAAATCTTGCAGCTATCTCGCGACATTTCACCGAGACACACCCCCCTTTGGTCATTATTTCAGCCGTCCAGCTCGCGACTTTACGAATCCTACTATGGCCACGCCAAGTCCCGCCCTATGCCTACCTCTGATTGGCTTACTTCCCTCCCCCGTTCCTTTTCTCCCCCTTTGCTCTGATCCTAGTGTCTGCCTTTTCCCCTGTCTTTCTTTGTTGACCTTTGTTTGTTGTTGTTTGTTGTTTGTCTTTTCAATTCTAACCTCCCCCACTACTTGCCCTAACCCTAACGTCTTCTACCCTTGCCTAAACCTAAAATCCCTAACCCCTCAGCCAGCCCCGGACCTTTGACCCCTCACCTCGTTGAGCTCAGCCAATCAGAGGTAGGCATAGGGCGGGACTTGGCGTGGCCATAGTAGGATTCGTAAATTAGCATCCAGCTCGGGGTACCTCACAGTACACCGAGCTAAACGAGGACGAACGTACGACCCGCAAAACAAAGATGGCTGCGCCCATATTGAGATGTATTTTCTTTGTATTTGTACTACGTTGGTCGTTTTAATGACGATTTTAAATGCTCTTACACACTTGTTTACATTGCTGCTTTAGTCCAGTCACCAATTTATGCATTGCACGGTGTTGTTGTGCGTGCAATACAATGTAAAGTTATGTAGCTAACAATAACACTAGCCTGCCACTGCCCCTGGTGGCTCGAGACAAACGCGACAGCACTTGTTGAAATTGAAATAGGCGAAAATGGCAAAATATTATTGAAATGTAAGACTTGCAATAACAGAATTACTTGAAATGTTAGTGTTTCTGTAGAAAAACATTATTATTTCACATTGAGCTTGTTATAAGTGTATGCTAAAAAAGCAAGAAAATATTTCATTGGCATTGTGGTTTTCAACCTAAAAGATGGAGGATTTTCCACATAATCTAATGTGTATAAAGAATAACATCTGAAATCATTCTTTTTATGATTAATTATCCGCAGTTGTATTTATAAAATCAAACTTCATTCATGGAGAGAAATCCCAGGAAAAGAGTGATTATATTACTGGGAATAAATGTTCAGAGGATAAGCTGCAACCCTAAACATGACCCTTGTCATGCTCACTGTAGAGCAGAACATCATATCACTGTGTCAATATCATACCTGCACACTTCTTCATGCCTTCTTCATTGCTTATCATGCACGGCCCTCCTCCTCTTTCTTATTTCACAACTGCTTTCAACTAAAAAAACAAAAAAAAGAATTCTTCACAATCTGCCAAAAAAATATCTATTTTGATTTGTTGTTTACCATACCATACCATACTCACCATATGCTTACACACACACTGTTTTACAATGTAAGGATTGTGTTCACTTCCAAGTCAGTGATTTCAAGGTTACCTTCAGAGCTCAAACTGCTGATGTGTGGGCAGTACAACAGTTGGAAAGGAAAATGTTATCAGAACTGAAAAATGTATAGATACAACTCAAACTAAAACAGAGGTTGGAAAAAAAGGCAAATCGTGAACAGTACTTTGAACTGGAAACAAGTTTTTAAGAGTCTACAGTCTACAGCCACACTAGCAGCTAAATGAGGCTTTACTGGCACAGTGGTATTTTGACCTACATGCTAACATGTGGATGTTTAGCAGTTACAGTGTTTACCAGGTTAACCATCTTGGTTTAGCATGTTAGCACACAACTGCACTTAGGTATGCTATGTGCTAGGCTCTCTATGTTAAAATTACAACCACATTTTGATGATGGTTAAAAGATAAAATATGAATGTCTGTCCAGCTGCACTGCAGGCAAACCCTTGTTTCATGGTCTCAAAGGTAATAAAATACACTGAGTCTGATGCATCTGATCATTAGATACAAATTAGTCTGAATGTTAAAAGTTAACCCAAATATAAAACATATTTTCTCCCCTCTTTCTAGTGGCATTGAGCCATACAGACAGATTAGGTCATAAATTGTAAAACCAATACCATGGGCATCAATAAAAATTGTGCCACCCACAGTATTATAAAATGCTGAGTGAGTTTTGTGTATTATATAAAAATATTTAGACTAATTGGAAATGTATCATAATATTAAAGCTGCAGTAGATAACGTTCTAAACGTTATAAAATTAACTTTTTGTCATATTTTCTGAAACTTTCACTATATCCTGACAGTAGTACATGAGACAGATTGGTTGTTTTGGTTCAGGCCCGGTGGATTCTTACAAATGCCAAATGCCAAATGCTGTTGCAGCAGCTTTAAAATCATAAGCTAATAATGCTGCTCTGAAAATCTGCACGCTCTGTACATACACTGTCTGTCTATAAATTGTATATGTCTGTCATACTGAAAGTAGTTTTTACAGTGTACAGTATGTCTCCAGTTTAGGGTTGTTCCAATACCAATGCCAGTATGGGAAATTTCTCTGATACTGCCTATAATGCAGATCAGATATTGGCAAGTACACATGGCTGTGCAACGATACAATACCACATAATTTATTCACTCTGAAACAGGACTCTGCTACTCGCCAGTGTCAATCATAGCTCAGGTTTTGGAATCACAATCAGAAAGGAAAGAAACTGCATCAGAACATCTCTCCTTCTGTTTCTTTTTCTTTAAATTAAAGCAAGAGCAGATCTAACAGTATGGCTGTACACTTTTGTTTTATTTTAAATTTTATTTGTATAGCGCCAATTCATAACGGAAGTTATCTCAGGACACTTTTCAAATAGAGCAGGTCTAGACCGAACTCTTTAAAACATTATTTACAGAGACCCAACAGTACCACCATGAGCAAGCACTTGGCGACAAGGGCAAGGAAAAACTGCCTGTTAAAAGGCAGAAACCTAGGACAGATCCTCCGGCTCTAGGTGGGTGGTGGTCTGTCTCGACCAGTTGGGGTGAGAGAGAGAGAGAGAGAGAGAGAGAGAGAGAGAGAAACAGAGAGAGAGAGACTGACTCCACCAGGATCGATAAGAACCTGCGAGACGAGAAAGCACAAGAACTCCGGGTAAGAAGTGAAGTTAGTAACATGCATTAATGGAACATGAATGAGTGCAGAGGAAGAGAGGAGCTCAGTGCACCATGGGAAATCCCCCGATAGTCTAGGCCTATAGCAGCATAACTAAGGGATGGATTTTGTAGCTATACTCTAAGAATCCATCTGTACATAGTCCATCAATTGATTATCAATTGCATCTGTAATGCGTATTCAATAGAATCATATCAATCACATTTTCATTCAAGTATTCACATATAAACATATATGAGTGGACAGACATGGATGTAAACTGTGTATGTGATATGTGCTGCTTATTTGCTTTCTGTCCTTATGCCAAACGTTTCTTAATTTTTAAAAGAAACTACATCTAATTCTTAATTGCTAGTGGTTTTCTTTTTTATGCACATTTGCTTCCTATTTCAGACACTAGTTAATTAACTGCTTATAACATAACTCGCTGAGTAATTTTGTCCCATTAGATGGTTGTTTTACACTTTAAAGTTCGCTGCTTTTTCTAACAGAACCTGTCAGTATGCTAATAGGTTAGAAAATGTGGTTATCCTATGCTTGATGTATTTCTTTTATTCCAGTGAATAATTGCTCAAATGTCACTGTGCATTTTATGAAGATATTTGAATTACAGCTGCAGTGTTCACATTTATTATGCCATGAGTTAGCTGTTAGATAACTGTATCCATCCTTAGGATGTGGTCATAGACATTAGTGTTCTGTGCTGTTTGAACTTGAACTGATCTCAGTGGTTAAATGTAAAGCAGAATCAAATTTAAAGGCATGTCAAGACAACCTCATTAACTGCCAAGAAATCATATGATGCATACACGCCTGTCATACATTTAGGTATTGGCTGAACTTGGAGCACAGCTGAGGTTGGAGGAGTGAAGAGGGAAAGTGGCAAGGCAATGAGCTTTAACCAGAAAAATGCCTTAATGAAAGACCTACAGGCCAAAACCAGGAAGCAGTTTCAGGTCACAAGTTCAAAGTATTTTTGTTACTTCATTGTGAAGCTGTGCAGCCAAACCTCAGTACTTATCTGCAATAAAAACACAGATCTGTCCCAGTGTTTAACTCTTTCTGCTCCCATCCTATGGGAAACATGCAGCAGAATGGCAGTCAGTACTAGTCCTGCGTGTGGGTAACAACATGTCCCTGAACGTATGGTCCCTTTACTGATGTAAGAGAATGGAGCAGTTCAAATGAAACAGCCCTTAGCAAATAAGAGGAAGTACACGTTTTCCTGGCTTTGACCCAAAAAAAGGCTTAGACTGAAAAGCCCTCTTTCAAGCTGCAGTAGGTAACTAATATGAGACAGATAATCTGTGAAAAAATCAGGTTCCTCTGCCTTCTCCTAGTGCTCCTAATGGCATTTGTAAGAATCTACTGGGCCTGAATTAAAACAACCAATCAAGAAAGATAGAAAGATGCTCTGGGTTGGTTGATTGTTGAGTTTGTTGGTATTTGATGACCTGGGATTAAGACTCCACGAACTATCTTTCTTGGCTCTGATTGGTTATTTTTGTTCAGGCCCGGTGGATTCATATGCCATTAGGAGTACTAGGACTGTACCAAGCATATTCTCACTGTTTGGTTAGAGAAACAGTCCTGGTAACACCCCTGTCTATGTGTTCCTGCTTGTTCAGGTACTGGCTGCAGTCCGGATTTGCTCTTTTTCCTGTGTGCCATGTATGCTCCTATCTGCACCATCGACTTCCAGCATGAGCCCATCAAACCCTGTAAGGCAGTATGCGAGCGGGCCAAGTCGGGCTGTGAGCCAGTGATGAAGCGTTACAACCACAGCTGGCCCGACAGCCTGGCCTGCAGCGAGCTGCCGCTGTACGACCGCGGAGTCTGTATCTCACCTGAGGCCATCGTCAAGGCAGAGGGACCAGGTATAACTATGTTTATCATTTGTATTATTATTATAATCATCTTGTTTTTGGAATTTCGCTTCCGTCCAACAATTAATGCTGGTTGAGATTCAGAGCTGATTTTGGAACTTTATCTCACCACACGCTCCATGTGGTAGCTGTTCTGGTGCTACTAAACAGCTGCTAATGTACTTTGTGTTGAGACTGTTTTCTCAACTGTTTTTAAGCTCAATATTTAACTTTTAGCTTTGGCTTTTGGCCAACATGGACAGGAATATTCTTTGGAAGTGCTCTGAAGAAATGGACATTTTAAAATCAGCATAATTTCCATGACAAATGGACAATTGACATCTCCTGATGCAGATTATTTGATGTGATTAAAACGCACCAGAAGAAGCTACATACTGAATGAAACTTCAACAGGTGAGATCAGGGATGCTGGAAGTCAAAGCACAGTTGGGGGTGCTGTGAAAAGGTCAGTCTGTGTAATAACACAAATAACATGACACAATAATAGCATTAATCCAGCATTAATATTGACACAATAATATTTAATGCTGGATTCAGGCATATGGTAGACAGCAAACTTTCATGTTAGCAGATGAGAGCAGGAATGTGAAAATTAGGTGAGGCTGGCAGAGACTACCAGCAACGCTATAGGTAGACTACATTGCTGTCCAAGGTTAAAATATTTAAACTTTTGCCATCCTCTACAACGGAATTTATACCCTGATGTTACCTAGCTCCCTCAAAACACCAAACTCCATCAAAACATGGATAATCAGGAGAAGCTAATAATTAAATAATTACATAAAATAATGTACATGTCACATTAAAATGTATTTAATATATTTTATTAAATTCAATTTAATTAAATCTTATTTGTATAGTGCCAATTCATAACAAACGTTATCTCAGGACACTTTTCAAATAGAGCAGGTCTAGACCGTACTCCTGAAAAAATTATTTACAGAGGTCCAACAGTTCCCACCATGAGCAAGCACTTGGCGACAGCAGCCAGGAAAAACTTTTAATGAAGGAGAAATCTTGAGGAGACCCTGGCAACATATTGTCATGTGTGTTTAATTTTGCAGTCCTACCATTGCATCTAACTGTTTGTCTTGTGCCACCCAGGGGGTGTTGGTCTGTCTACCATCTGCCTGAATCCATGTGAATGCAGCATAAAGGATGTGCGATATTCATGTTTTCCGTAGTTTCTCCCTCAGATGAAATGAGTGAGTTGCAATCTACAGCTCAAAATCGCCACGCAGCACTTTCTTCCTGTTGCCAGTAGGTGGTGCTCTCAGTATTACTGAATCTTATCACATAGGCATGTTCAAGGCGGGACTCTTATCAGACAAGCGAAGTTTGGTGCTGATTGGACAATGTACACTGAAGTTATAGCGAATTCGGCGGGACTCAATCACTTATCAAATATGTGAAGTTTCGTTGCAGTTGGATCATGTACGCAGAAGTTATGACGAATCCCTCTTTCATGGCGAAGGTTTGAAATTGGATGCCATGCCACGGGCACGATGTTCGACGGAATAACGTAAATAGCACAACTTTTAATGGTGAATGTGTTTAGATGGCTGTGTCCAAATCTGAAGTCGGTCCAATAAATTCCCTAGGAGGAGTTTGTTCAAATACAACGTATGCAAATTGCCATGAAATCCAAAATGGCCCTGTTGGGTTTCGGGTATGGGTCCAAGAGGCTTTTTTGGACGTCTTGGCATGTTGGACGTGCCTACCGAGTTTCGTACATATCGGTGCAACGTGGCTCCGGGGCTGCTTTTTTAAAATTCTGTAGGGGGCGCTACAAATACGACAAAGACGATTTTTGGTATGGGGGCTACGGGCACCAGTCTACACATGCCCTGTGAATTTCATATTCATAACTATTACGGTCTTCGCAGAGTGATATACACTGCCACCAGAGCGCCACCTAGTAGCGGATTGTTGACACATTTATTAGTGAGCCTCAGCGAGCCATGGGCAAGCATCCTACCAAGTTTAATTTTAATCACACATGCCAATGCTGAGATATAAACTTCTTCATTTTAAAGAGCGCCACCTTGTGGCTATGGCCTGAAATTGTGCACGATGCCTAAGGAAGACATGAGGAACTATGGACCCAAGCTTGGTGGCAATTGGACCTACCAATGTGGAGAAATGTTACACTTCCTGTTTTTACCAAAATCTATAGGAAGTGCTAATTTTATAATGGGCTTATTTTTTGAAGTATGGAAACTTTTTGAATCATGTTTTTCCAGGACGGTCCCCAGATGCTACGTGTAAAATTTTGTGTGAATCGGACAAAGTGCATAGGAAATACACGAAAAAGTAGTTTATGGACATTTTGGGCTCTAGCAAAAAAAAACTCCAGGCGAAAATGAGCGTGGCCTTTATGGGGAGATTCAGCTCGTTCCCTAATTAAAGATGCAAGCAGCGTTGGGCGGGACCTCGCACTCCATGAAACTCGGAGCATGCTGCGGCTGCTGAAGTTGTGAGGATGTGTTCAGGTTGGGACTGTTACAGAATATGTGACGTTTAGGGGAGATTGGACATTGTACACTGAAGTTGAGTACTATCTGTTTATGGTGAATGGTCAAAATTCAACGCAACGCCACTGGCACGCCGCTTGACGGAATGTCGTAAATTGCATAACTTTTAATCATGGATGTCTTTAGATTGCGCTGATTAAATTTGAAGTTGATCCGGATAATTCCCTACGAGGTGTTCGTTCAAATACAAGGGGAAAAATCACAGAAAATGAGCACGGAATTCAAAATGGCTGACTTTGATGCCACGCCACGGACACACCGTTTGACGGAATGTCATAAATAGCACAACTGTTAATTATGAATGTCTTTAGATTGCGCTGATTAAATTTGAAGTTGATCTGATAAATTCCCTAGGAGGATTTCGTTCAAATACAAGGCGAAAAATCACAGAAAATGAGCACGGAATTCAAAATGGCTGACTTTGATGCCAAGCCACGCACACTCCGTTTAACGGAATGTCGTAAATAGCACAACTTTTTATCATGAATGTCTTTAGATTGCGCTGATTCAATTTGAAGTTGATCCATGAAGGAAGAACACCAAAAAGTAATTTTTGGACATTGTAGGCGAAAGTGGGTGGGTCTTATGTGGGGAGATTCAGCTCCATTCACCGAACGCGTGGATACAAACTATGCAGAAGTTATTAGCCTAAATGCATTTTTTATGATAGTAGCGCCACCTAGTGGCCAAACCGAAAGTGATGCATAGAATATAAAGTTTTTCGCCAGGCCTGACAACTTTGCCAAATAAAATTGACTTTTGGTATATGTTCAGGGGGGCAAAAACGCAGTCGAAGGTGAATAGGGAAATCGAGCAATTACATTAGGGACCTCTGTCCCTAATAATAATTGCTAGTGAAACAAGAGGGTCCTTGCACTTTTGTTAGTGCTCGGTCCCTAATAATAGGTGAAGAAATCGAGCAAAAACAATAGGGACCTCCAGCGGTCGCTGGCTCGGTCCCTAATAATAATTCCTACAGGAACAATAGGGTCCTTGCACTTGAAGGTGCTCGGTCCCTAATAAAAGAGAGGGAATGTCAAACACAGTTACTTTTTCCCACACTTATGGGAATGTGGTCCGATTTCAAATTGCAGGAAAGTGAGATGACATGTTATTATACCATGGTCTAAGTGGCTGCAGTGTGTCCATTAATTCCTGATGTAGGACAAGTAGTCAAGAAGTTCCAGTGAAACTGTCTGTTCACCATTCTGAATTAACGCGCTGAAATAAATGAAATGAAAACTATCTGTATCTTATTTACAACACTGAGTGTAGTCCTTCAGTCCTTCATTCTCTGAACAACACAGGATGGCAACTGCAACACACAAGCCTCTACCCTGCCCCTTTGAATTATATGTTTGATACTCTGTATAAGCAGTCCTCTTATATCCCACTGGCTATTCAACTTGCTACTTGAGGCTGCAGCTGACAGTAAGTTACACATGTCCTATCATTTGTTCATGAAATTTGATATTGATTTGGGGACAATGACATGGATAGCTAGTTAGTCTTGTTTATTTTATTTTATTTAATGTTTATTTTTCAGGGACTATGCATAATACATGTATTGTACCAGAGATAGCTAAAAGCTAATTTTCAACTGTTGTCCCTGGATGGAGGCCACTAGTGCTGCACAGGTTACAGAAATAAAAGATCAGTAGTGATTCAGAACCTTGTACTTTGTTAAAAAAAAAAAAAAAAAAAAAAAAAGCCAAAATAAAACACGTTATTAGGGGCGGCTGTGGCTCAGAGGCAGAGCGGGTCGTCCCCTAATCGGAAGGTTGTTGGTTCGATCCCCGGCTCCTCCTGTCACATGTATACGAAGTATCCTTGAGCAAGATACTGAACCCCAAATTGCTCCCGATGCTGTGCATCGGTGTATGAATGTGTTAGTTTCTGTTTGATGGACTTTGCCATCGCTGACTGAATGTGTGTAAACGGACGAGTACAGGTCCATAAGCAGAATAATGCCCTTTGATGTGTCCATTATAAGGACTTAATGGACTCCTCGTCTGGGATTATCTTTTACAGGCTGATTTTTGAAAATTTTAAGCTGACTCGATTTAAAACTAGAATCTTGTAAAAATGGTCTTAAATTAGAGCTTTGATTGGGCCCAAAAACTCAGGCCTGGCCCCACCCCAGCATTAAAAAAAGGCTGAACCAAACCTAAACCACAGAAGCAGTTTTGGGCCCAAAACCAGCAGGTCAGGTCGGGCAGAGAATCAATCAAGCCTTCCTTAAATATGCCCTAAATACCTACATACATGATATCGTTCTAAAAGACTGTTGCTAAATCTAGCACATCCCAGGTGAGTGAATTTGTATAGTACCTATCGTCAACACAATTTTTTGTTTATGACGAAAATAAATACACTTTGTGAAAGTTAAAATGTATGTAATTAACACAATGAATCATCCACAGATCAGTACAATATATTAGGATTTTGAAACAATAACATACAATATTTATGTTTTTACCTGATAGTGATAAGACCAAACTTTACATAAATCCCATAGCAAAAATATGACCTACTTATTGAAAAGTGAAATATAGAAAAAAACCTACCGTAAATAAGTCAGTCTATCATTTTATAATGATAACAAGTTTGTGGAGAGACAACAGGTAGAAGGAGGACCAGTACACAGAACATCTAACATATATACTATTAGTCTAATATCAGCAATTTTGTTAATGATATAAACTTATTAACGCCTGTAAAAGTCTTAAGATGCAGGGTACTTCTGTAAAATATATCACTCTCTTCACTGAAAAGCATCAGGAAGCAGTTTCCCCTGCTTAGCTAAGCCTTATTGGTGTTTTTAAAATCATGTTTCTACTCTCAGCAGTTTCTTTCTGCTCCCTCTTGACCAGATATAGCGTGAGTCATTTCCCCTCCAACTTCACTCCCACTGACTTTCTCAAAGAACTCCTTGATACATGTGGCCCACCCATTTTACACTCAATAAAACCCTCACTGTCCTCTGCTTCTTTAAACAGGCCCTGGACCAAGAGCAAGTCCTGAAGAAAAAACTAATCTCAATCCCCTTGACCTCCTTAACGATATACCTACGTATCTCTGAGCTGCCCTGGCTCGGCTCAGCTCAGCAGGTTTTGGGATTTTCCCTGTGATTTGTTGATTTGCTGAGGTTCAGTCAGGGTGGATTGCTCAAGTCATTCCAGTGAATGTTAGTGGCACTCCAGTCAGAAGGTCACTGTTCTAAAGTAGCCACAGTTCAATCAAATCCAATGAAAAGTAATCTTTGCAAGTGACAGCGGGTGATGAGTAAACAAGACTATAAGTTGCTGGTTACTGAAAACTAAAAACTCATAACATCATGTTGTCAATAGAGTTCAAAATCAACGAATTACCACTAGTCAGTAGGATTCATCCTTTGGGGACCATGAATGTCTCCCAATTTTTTGGGGCCCAGAAAGCGTGAAAAACACCCCTATCTGTCCCTATCTAGAGCCAGTGATTGGTCCTTTCTAGGCTACTGTAGAAGCATGCAGTCCAACATGGCCGATTCCATGGAAGGTGATCCATGGCGTCTGTGGATAAAAACAATTCTTATTTTCAGGTAATAAATAACACATTAATGAAAACATAGTTATGCATATTATATTCCTGCCAATAGATCTTCCTTAATGTTATAGACTGGACCCATAAAACTTTAACTAAATCAACGCTGACTTTTGGTTTCACACGGGAGATGAACTCCTGTGTCTCTTGGGTGTAGTCCTGTGTTTCTTTGACCCATCTGTCCACCCCAAACACTTCCTTACACAGACTTTGTCGCTTTTTCCACTACATCACCTGATGCGAAAGGGTTACACTGGAGTCAGATGAAAGGGTACCTTGTGCATCTGTATGAATGAGACACAGAGGGACATGACAAAACATTGGTACTGACTCCCAAGGAATGAGAATGGGATGTCCAGCTGGACGCACCCAAAAAACATATTAAGAGAGGCGTCCTGACCAGATGCTTGAATCACCTCAACTAACTTTTTTCTTTGTGAATAAGGGTGGTACGAGCCCATTCTGGATGTCTGTGCTCCCCCCTCTGTCTTTATGGATGCACCCCAGCCAGCACTTTATGGTCATCAGTTTTACCATGAGAGTCTGATACAGCATCCACATCACGGATGACGCTGCACCAATCCACCTGTTGATCCTCGATGGCATTCAAACGGAGACCCGGAGATACTTGAATTCCTTCACTTGGGGCACCAATTCACTCCAAACCCTTAGGGTAAACTTTACATCCTATAACTCCACTACTGGTAAGGCTGTTACAACAGCTAAATAATCAGCAGTTGTTTAGTCTGTCCAACGTTCCCTCACATTAATGGTTGTAATGAACACTGCGGCCCCTAGGGGACTTATGAGTGTCTGGTTAAAAGACGATTCAGTATTTGTTCTTCTCTTGTTTTCTGATGAACTGTGCTGGTGTCCTAAGCATTGCACCATTGTGTCAAACTGCTTGAACATCTTCCCCTTTTCCTATTGCACAAAGTCAATAAAAGGGAATGTGTGTTCTTTCTGTTCCGACACTCACTGGTGCCTCTCTGTGTCTCTGTAGATCCATACTACCAGGACCCAGCCAGATGTAATCCAGGTGAGGCTGACCTTTGACATTCTCTCGGCCCAAACTGTAAATGTTTTCCTATAAGCTAGCCTGTTGTATCAGCTGATTGATATACATTTTATCAGATTAGACACATCATCTAAAACAGCGTTTGGACCATTTCCACAAATGACAACTCAACAATGCAGCCAGTCAGTGACAGATGCTTCCGGAAACCGTATTTCTCTCTAACATGCGGATGTGCATCTGAACACAACCAGTCTAGATACTAAAGTTTATCTTGAGATTTGCTAAAGAACTGATCTATTCTGGATTTGACCCTCTGACAGAATCCAGTCCAGACTTTCCAATGGACTCCAACAACCTCCACTGCAGAGGACCAAATGGAGGTAACCTTTTAGTTAACCTGTCTCTACCTCTGTTCCGGTTCAGTCTTCTTCTCCTTGGAAGGGCTTGTTCTTTAGAGAACTGAAGGTTAAAGGAATAGTTCAACATTTTGGGAAATACCCTGAGAATACTGAGTCATATGAGAAAACAATACCATTCTCATGTCTGAGCTAAAGCCAGTAGTCTATTAGCTTACCTTAGCTTAGCACAAAGACTGGAAACAGGGCTACATCTGGCCTTGCTCTGTCCAGAGGTAACAAAATCCGCTAGTAATTACGACACTCAAAAAATGGTAGGAAGTAAAGCGAGTGCATTAGGTAGCAAATGTGTAAGAGATAACGCCTGACAAGGTGTCCACTATCAGGAAAAAAATAAAATTAAAAAATTAAAATTAATTAAAATGTTATATTTGTGTTATGTGTTTTGCAATCAGCTCCATTTTCCATTTTCCAGCCATCTCATTGTCCCCAAATCAATATCAATACTTTTTCAAACAAGTTGAAGGGAATGTGTAATTTGCTGTTGGCCACACCCTAAAGTAGTGAGTTGCATAGCAAATGGAATGTGAGATGATCAGAGTATCAGTAAGTTCAGAAGGGCAGTACACCATCCTGTGGTGTTCAAAGGATGAGGCACTGAAGGACAGTGTTGTAAATAAGATAATCAAATTTTTTTCCCCTTTTAATTTACTCATCAGGGTGTCTGCATCCAGCTGGTGCCAATGCTGTGCAATATTTTTTTAAATTTTTTAATTTTTTTTACTTTATTGATCCCAAGCTGGGAAATTGCAGAATTTTTAGAATGGTGAACAAACAGTTTCATTGGAACTACTTAAGAGGTGTTCTATAACAAAAATTAATGGACACCCTGTGGCCAATCAGAATGGAGTATTCACCCATACCATGGTATAAGAGAGTGATGTCAGACAACGTGGTAGTATCTTTTATAAATCTGCCAAATGTCTTTTGCCAGAAAGGCAAACAAATTTAAAGGACCACCAGTGGTAGGATTTAGTGACATCTAGCGGTGAAGTTACAGATTGCAAACAACTAAGCTCTGAAGTGTGTAGTACATACTACTTTGGCCAAGAAACATGCTAAAGGCCCCATCTACAGCCAGTTTGGTTTGTCCGTTCTGGGTTACCGTAGAAACATGGTGGTTTAACCTGTGGCGCCTGTAGATAAAAACAGCTCCTTCTGAGGTAACAAAAACACAATGATTTCTATATTAAGGTGATTATATACTAATATATACTAATATAAAATGCATATAAAATTCAATTTGTGCCAGTAAATCCTCCTATATGTTACACACCAAACCTTTAATGGATCTGTTGCTATGTTTTCCACCCTCACACAACCAACAACCACGTGACTGAATTAGGTTCTGTCTTGAATTACAGTGAACACTCACAAGCTGTAAACTTCTTTCCTGTCTCAAGCAGTCATCCCATGTGATGTGAATCAGTCTGGAAACAAAGACTTTTAAGGAAGCAGAGCCTGAACGGTTTTTGTTTGTCTGTTCCCATGATCATCCACTTTGTGTGTGTTTATGTGTCATTAGATCGCTGTAGATGTAAGCCAGTCAAAATGTGTCAGAAAACCTACCTGAGGAACAACTACAACTACGGTGAGTCACCTGGGACTTACTACAGTTTTTACAGTTAAGAGAAGATCATTTCAGAGGTCAGATTACTTATTAAATTAGACACAAAAAAAGCTAAAAGGCTAGAAAAGCTTTTCCAGATGATTACAGTGCACAGGCATGATTTGGCAAATCCAACAGAGATTTCCATATGGACTTGAGCCTGCCAATGCTTCTGGCAACAGAATCCATTTAGGGAAGATTTTAGATTTTTTTTCCAGCCATCATTTAAAAAAGCTCACTTTAAAAATATTCACATATAATTAAAGCGGAGGAGCACGGTGGCATGTCAGGGGGCACAACAAGGTGGTCTTTATAATTTGACTGCTGATAACAACCTGTTACAACACACTGTTTGTGCTTGTGCTGCTTCCTCCTCCATCTCTGCAGGTTCCACCTCTTCTGGTTTCTTAGTGCCATACTCGCAATGCTGTCCCTGTTCCTGTGCATTATGTTAATTTCAATTCAATTCAGTTTAATTTTATAATACAATATTTGTATAGCGCCAAATCATAACAGAAGTTATCTCAGGACACTTTTCAAAATAGAGCAGGTCTAGACCGTCCTCCTAAAATTATTTACAGAGATCCAACAGTTCTCTGCTCTGTTGCTCCTGAAGGTTTTGTTGCATTTTCCTCACAGTCTCACACTGCTTAAATTCAGTAAGGGAGCATTTTCTGAAAAAAACAAGCCATATTTCCATTTGTAGCTGGTGGTTTCAGCTGCTGCTGTTGGGTATCTTGGACAGTTACGTCAATTGCCCAGGAGACAGTAGGTACTACACTAGGGAGACAGTGACTGAGACAGACAGGATGGACCAAAGTTACTAGTGTTACTGGCAGCTGAGGGTGTCTCAGTTTCAGTTGTTGGAAAGAGGCAGGAAGACAGAAAAAGAGTTTAACTGTCCATTCCAGTTTCAAAGAGGACAACTACGAGACAATTAGAAAATTCAAACAAAGGTGTAACAGCTCACAGAAATTTAAAACATCTAATGGGTCCACTGGATCCTTTTTAATCCAAAATCCACTTTTGGGCACCACAGAAACATACAATTATCCAGCTGCAGTAGGTAACTTTTATAAAAATAACCTTTGGTTATTTTTACAGAAAATGTCACTATATCCTGACAGTAGTACATGAGACAGATAATCTTTGGAAACATCAGTTTTAGGCATTTGCAAGTCCACTGCACCTAAATGAAAACAACCAGTCACAACCACAAGGAGTGTCTAACGTTGTGTCAATCACTCCACATGCTGTTCTTCGCTTCTACGCTTCAGGAGGAGACTTTTTCTTCTTAGGTTGCCCATCAAAGACCAATGATGACGTTCACTTCTTTAGCTCCCTAGTGGTAGTGGTGGCAGCCATGACTGTCTTTGTCCTGGCTCCTTTCTGCTGTCTTCTGGTGGAGAAGCGTTGCAAACACAGATGTAAGCAGCAAAAAAAAAACAGTCCATCCCTCCTTTGCCAACAACAGTGTGAAGCTTTGGGTTTATTATGTTTGATGTCATAGTGCTCATATTGAAGAGTGGCATGATGGTATTGAGGAATAATAGGGGAAGACAGTGGTGTGTGTGGTGTAATAAAAAAAAGACTAAAAAGTCTACTAGCCTAGCATCTTTCTCTGGCACAAAGCATTTCCTTTTCTTTGTTAATAGATAAAATAGGTAACCGGCTACTGCTCTGCTGTGATTTTTGGCGGGTGGGGCTTAGCAGTAGAGGGAGAGAGAAGGTTTTGCATTGTGTAGGTTCAAGTTACCTACTGCAGCTTTAAAACCAGCTGGACAGGGTGACTGAATACAGCCAAAACGATTTGTGTGTCCCCTGGCAATACAGAAGTCTGGAACCAGGCCAGGGCAAATTTTAATAATGACTCAAGGTTTTATTTTTTAATCCAAGGGTTTAAAGAGCCTGACTTGCCATCTGCCTTGTGTCCAGTCTCCAATGTGTCCATGTATGCTGATGACTGTCTCCTTCAGTGATCAGGGCGAGGGTAAGGGAGGTGAGGAATCGCGGTATGGAACCCACAGCAGTGGTGGATGTGAAGGAGGTGCTCAAGTCTTCTCTGGTCAACATTCCCAAGGACACACAGACACTCTACTACTCATCCTCTTGCCTGTGTCCTCCTCTGTCTCCTGGAGAGGAGTACATCATTATGGGCTATGAGAGCGAGGAGACATCCAGGTATGAGCAGTATTAATAAGTAAGCATTATTATTGATGTCAGGGTTTCCTCCAGGACATTAGTTAGATAAAAGTCCAACTGGTAAATAAGACCTTAAAACTTCAATTCAAGGTAGGCTTTTTTCGGTAAACCATGTGTACAGTTGGTGGTTGTCCAACCGACTTCAACCTGCTGTCTGTTGTGCAGTGCTGTGCAGTGCAGTGTAGTGCCATACATCTGCACCTAGCTGTGAATGAATCACATAGAACATGACGCATCTCATCTCCTCCTCCACGCAGATCAAAGTAGACTCATGCAATAAATAACGTGTTCATACTGTGTGATGTAGTGCCACTACTTCTTTCCCTTGTTTTGCTGAGTAAGCCTAATATAATGTTTCATGAAATTGTAATAATTTCTAATTATGTAGCTCAGATCACCTACACTATATAATGCTGCGTAAACCTCACTCTGTGTTTGTGGTTGCAGGTTGCTCCTGATTGACAGCTCCATTGCTCAGAAGTGGAAGGACAGAATGAGCAAGAAGGTCAAGGTGCGATTCACATTCACACCAAATGCACACAGACTGTGCTGATGGTTTCAGAGCAGCATTTCATGTTATTTTCTTTGTGAACACGCCTGCAGCGGTACAGGTGAAGGCTTTTAAAGGTCATACTAATTTGTTTTAAACTGAACTGTATTAAAGAGGCCATATTATGCTTATCTTCATACTCGTATTTAGGAGGTCTGCTGTAATAGGTTGTGGGGGTGTAAATGTTAAAAAACAAATTATTTTTGGCATATTAGCCATTGCTGCAGCAAAGCATACCAGGCATACCATAAGGCCCTCCCTCCCAAAAGATGAGAGCAGCCCATCTAGGTACTTTGGCCCCGATCAAACCCCCACCTGCTGCAAATTCTGTGGTTTTTGGCAATTTAATACCATAAAATAAGGTTACTGTATTGCTTTTTAGCTATTAGGAGCCCAAATCCTATGGCCAGAAAATAATTAGGTTATGTTGAATTGAATTGAATTGTTGCAGACATATAGTAGTTGATGCATGTCCTTTCAGTCCGTTTCCATCACAGTGGACGGACCTGACATATACAACTACCTTTTTGAATCTCATATTTCTGACATCTGTCAATTCAATTCAATTTTATTTGTATAGCGCCAAATCATAGCAGAAGTTATCTCAGGACACTTTTCAAAATAGAGTATTTCTAGACCATGGAGAGCTTTGTAGGTGAGGAGGAGGATTTTAAATTCTATTCTGAATTTTACAGGGACCCAGTGCAGAGAAGCTAGTACAGGAGAGATGTGATCTCTTTTCCTGATCAAAGATAACTCCAAGATTCCAGATAGTGGTGCAAGAGGCCAAGGTAATACCATCTAGAGCAGGGGTGCCCATTACGTCGATCGCGATCTACCGGTCGATCGCAAAGTGGTGTGGGTAGATTGCATGGCATTTAAAAAAAAAAATAGACATCAGCCTATCATCCATTCTAACGTCTGACCGTTTCTGACACACCGGTCAACGCGCATGCACGCTCAACAGCGTTAGTTACTATGGCAATTAACGTTAATTATGGCAACATTCCAGCAAGCTAGGGAGTTGCCCAGTTAGCGTAACTTATTTCTATAGTACTAAACTTAAGAAATGATATAAAAATGAGTGGGGGAGCTGGACCAAGTAAAAAGCCCAAAACCTACCACTTCCATACGGAATGGGAGGAGGACTTTTCTTTCACAATGTCCTATTCGAAGTGCGTTTGCCTCATCTGCAAATCTACCATTGCTATTCCGAAGAAGGGAAATGTGGAGCGGCATTTTCGGACTATACATAAAAGCTACAACACTGACTTTCCACCAAAAAGCGAACTGAGAAGGAGAAAGGTGAAAGAACTAAAATCCCAGTTGTCCGGACACCAGGCCTTTTTCTCACAGCTTACCACAAAAGCGAAGACCACCACCGAAGCATCGTTCCGGGTGAGTCACGTCCTCGTTAAAAATAAGAAATCCTTCCAAGACGGAGAGATGATAAAAGAGGCATTCGTTGAAGCGGCTGAATCGTTGTTTCAAGACTTTAAAAACAAACCAGAGATGGTATCTTCAATCAAAGCTCTCCAGCTGTCAAGAAGTACAGTTACATGTCGCTGTGAAGCAATGGCCGAGGATGTGACCCAGAAACTTTGGAGGGATATAGCGGACTGCGAGTGTTTCTCACTGCAATTGGATGAGTCTACAGACGTGAGTGACACAGCCCAGTTGTGCATTTTTATTCGTATGGTGTTTACCGATATGATTGCAAAAGAGGAGCTGTTAACAGTGCTGCCAATGAAAGAACACACACGGGGAGAGGACATTTTTCAGTCTTTTAAAAACTTTATTAAGAAAACTCAGCTCCCAGTGTGGAAATTGGTGTCCATCACCATGGACGGTGCGCCCGCGATGATTGGCCGCTCGAATGGATTTATTGCCAAGTGCAGGGAGGATGATGCCTTCCCCGACTTCCTCAATTACCACTGCATTATACACCAACAAGCGTTATGCGCAAAAATGCTGAACATGAAAGAGATAATGGATGTGGCAATGAAGATCGGCTGTTCTATTCGCGGCAGATCTCTTCAAAGACGGCTGTTCTGTGTGGATCTGGAGAAGGCAGACTGCGACCACACTGAATTGTTGCTACACACTGACGTGAGATGGCTTAGTCGAGGGAAATTCCTGCAAAGATTTCGAGAGCTCTGTCCGGAGATTAAAGAGTTTCTCCTTGCATCTAGACATGCAGAATACACCCAACTAAATGAGGACCAGTGGCTACTAGACTTAGCATTTTTAACCGATCTGACCAACATGTTGAATGACCTCAATGTTGAGTTGCAAGGAAAAGACAAAACAGTGGTCAATATGATCAGCTCAGTTAATGTGTTCAAACGAAAAATGCAACATCTGGGCTCAAAGCTGCAGCGCCATGATTTGGCAAACTTCCAGAACCTCGTATCAGAACTGGAGAGGCAAGGGAAGGCCTGTGCGCAACTTGACAGTGGACGCTACACAGTGCAGATTGAAAACCTTCTGTCAGACTTTAACAAACGGTTTCAAGACTTTGCTTTATTGGAGCCAGTCGCTACATTCATGTGCTACCCATTTCGGGAGAATGCTGATGTTGATTTACTCGCATCAGAAATTGCAACAGTGTTTCACCTGAACTCGTCTGGAGTGGAGGATGAGATCCTGACACTACAAGCTGACATTGAGCTCAAGTCCAGGGCTCATGGACAGTTCTGGAACTTACTCACAGAGGAAAAGTACCCCAACATGAGGAAATGTGCTACCTCCTTGACTGCATTGTTCAGCTCTACTTATTTATGTGAGTCAGCCTTTTCCCACATGAAGATTATTAAGTCCAAATACCGTTCCACTATGACTGATCATTTGGAAGTGTGCTTCAGCAGCTACTGTCCGGACTATGCATCCCTGGCTGACTCCATTCAGTGCAAGTCATCAGCGTGAGGTATGTACTCAGTATATATAATTAAATATATTTACTTATAATGACACTTACCTTAAATGGGGGCACAACATAAAGTGCTTGTCCACCTCAGCCACTTTTTACATACCATGTAGCCGGCAGGTGTCTGGGGTTTGGTTAGTAGTGCAGATGTTGAGTTAAAAGATGATAAGGGAAATTGTATTATGTTTGCATTTGTGTTACGTTAGATCTGGAAGGAACATTTTCCATTTGATTAATATGTGTGTTTCTCACCTCTTGTCTAGATTGCACCCAGGAACTGGCAAATCAGTCCCCGCCCAGGTGGACTCCTTTTATGGTCAAGTTCCTTGGGGAATGTGCCAAGTGTAATATACATGAGGGGGAGATTTAGGAGGCGTTTCGGAGATTTGTGATTTTTTTGAGATTTTGAACAGTTGGCATCTATTTTACTCTTTTGATATGTGTTGTGAGTTCTTTCTACTGTTATACTTATAAAACTTAACTATTTGGTATTAGATAAATGAATATGTTATTGTTGTTGTTATCTTAATTGTTTCATCCTGTGGTAGGAGGAAGTTGCCAGGGGCCCCAGTTTAAAAGGGGTATGGAGATCAGAGTTGAGGTTATTTTTGATACCTCTAGTTACCTTTTTCCTAAGTTGTTTCCATTCATTTTCATTTTTATTTTGCTTGTTGTTTTCTCTTCAGTTTGGGCCAAGCTGACCCTCACTGTAAATAAGCTGCACTGATCCACTGCTTGGAAAAAAAGGGAAATAAAAATTTGGACTGACTGAACAGTTTCAAGGTCCCTTTCTTTCTGCCTTCACTTATGTTTAGCATTTTTTAATGTAGGTAGATCAGTTTGACCTGGTCATTTTGAAAGTAGCTCACAAGCCGAAAAAATGGGGGCACCCCTAATCTAGAGTAACTACATCTTTAGACAGTGAGTCCCGGAGGTGTCTGGGGCCAAGTACAATAATTTTTTTCTTTTGCATCAGAATATTGCTGCTCAACCTTGATGAGCAGAAAAGCTATGTAACACACTAAAGCACAGGGGGAAAAAGTATGATATTGCCTCTTTAATGCAAGGTGTAAAGGGGGTCTAAGTGGGGCAGGGCTAAGTGAATGGTCAACTTGTACCACTTGGCTAATGTGGATTAGTGTCCACTCACATCCTCCTATTGACTCTGAATATAATATGGCATACTGAAAATACCTTCAGTGCTGCTCAAACTTACTGATACAGTGGTTGAAATCCTCAAGATTACCATACCAACTGAACCTCATCAGGAACATGATGTATTGTGTATGGACTGACAGATCACATATGCCTGCCAACTTCACTTCCTGTCTGTCTGTCTTTCTGTCCAGAAATGGAATGCGGTCCAGCAGGATGGCCCACGAACTCATCACGTGAAACGCCACTGAGATCTGACTCTGTGTGTGTGTGTGTGTGATTGTGTGTGATTGTGTGTGCGGGTGTGTGTGGGTGTGTGTGTAGATATTGCACTATCACAGGCTGTTGTAGCTGAATGTAGTTCATCTCTTCATCTATCAGACTGTTTGGAGTTTGATGTTTGTCATTTATTTTGTTTGCACATACATTATTTAGTGTGCGTTTAGTGTGTGTGTGTGTGTGTGTGTGTGTGTACACTTAAAGCACTCAATAAAGACACATAGGGGATAGAGCTTCAAAGCTGTAGTACTAAACCTACACACAGCCATACAGTATGTACATGACACTTTTTCGGAACAAATTTATTTTCAGTGGTGGCCATGTTGGCTCCACAGCTCTTCTCCATGGTCACGGTCTTTAATTAACCTGGATGTTTGCCGTGTTACCACGCCGATGTGACGGACGACATCAAATGAAACCAATTTAAATGATACCATTTGGACTTGAACATTTTAGACTTAAAGGACAATTCCAGTGCAAAATGAACCTGGGGTTAATAACACATGTGTACCGAGTTGGTCCGTTCTCTGGGATATGTTTACATGCTAATCGACCGTGACCGGTTTTAGCACAAACCGCTAATTAGCTTATAACATTAGCCAACGGGGCACCGAGTAACGTGAAAAGAAATCGCTTTTTATACCACTAACAAGACTCAAAATAGCACCACACTTACATGGTAGCATAATGAGGGCCCCTACCTATAAACCGAAGCATTGAGAACTTTGTAAGTGTACAGACAGTTTATTAAAAAGATAGTTTAGAACAACAGTAGCATTCGCGTATACAGGTGGGCGCTATCTTGGGAAAACAGTCAGGGGTTAGGTCATTCAATGATCAAGACTTACAGCTGGCGATGTGAACTAAAACAAACGTAATTTGCTCAATATATCAGAAATAATCACATCGATGTAAAACACAACTTGTCTAGTGTACTTACTCAGTGGACAACTGTCCATCTGGTCCCTCCGGTATGAGTCGCTGCCTCCAATTTATTTTCGGGACATGGAAAAAAGTTTCAAGTACAGCTCTGTTTATTAGAGAGGGGAAATCTTCAGACTGTACAAAACACTGCGTCTCTTGGGTGTCGCGACAGTTGTCCACTGAGTAAGTACACTAGACAAGTTGTGTTTTACATCGATGTGATTATTTCTGATATATTGAGCAAATTACGTTTGTTTTAGTTCACATCGCCAGCTGTAAATCTTGATCATTGATCTGCATGAATGACCTAACCCCTGACTGTTTTCCCAAGATAGCGCCCGCCTGTATACGCGAACGCTACTGTTGTTCTAAACTATCTTTTTAATAAACTGTCTGTACACTTACAAAGTTCTCAATGCTTCTGTTTATAGGTAGGGGCCCTCATTATGCTACCGTGTAAGTGTGGTGCTATTTTGAGTCTTGTTAGTGGTATAGAAAGCGATTTCTTTTCACGTTACTCTGTGCCCTGTTGACCAGCGTTATAAGCTAATTAGCGGTTTGTGCTAAAACCGGTCACGGACGATTAACATGAAAACATATCCCAGAGAACGGACCAACTCGGTACACATGTGTTATTAACCCCAGGTTCATTTTGCGCCGGAATTGTCCTTTAAAAAGAGGAAAGAATAATATTCACGTTTTGTTCAAACCGCAACAAAACCAATTGCAACAAAGCGACCAGAGCAACAAGACCAAATGCAACAGCAGCAGCAGACAGAGGGAGAGATTACTTACTACTTGTTGCATCCAGCGTCTCCTCTGGTGTTAAAGTGTCACAACAACAGAAAATGACAAATTGTTACAAATTGTTGAGCAGGAATGCAACAGTCAGTGGGCACTTTATAAGGTACACCTGTACAAACAAGGTAGATGCTAGGTGTTTGTAGCCAACAATGCTATTTGCACCAGGGGAGAATAGCCAAAATTACAGTCAACAGGTCACCTAGGTTGCAATTCGAACCCTGGTGGTTTAAGTATGAAATTTCATTTTTAAAATGCAGTTATTCGTTCATCATTTGAGGACAGACAAATAATTTACTGATTGACACACTGAATTAGTTTTTTAAAGCTACTTTAAATAGTATTCATTTGGAATGACACACTCTAGACTCCATATTTGTTAAAACTATAACTCAGTGACACACACTGCTTGTTTGTTTGATTGATGTGATGTAAAAGGTACGTTCACGGTCCTCTTCAAACCTACAAATATTTGCTCCATTTCCCATGAATTTCTATTGAAAGAGAATTAAAACACTGATGCACTGTTTGGAAATAGAGAAGTTATTATTTCAGTGTCATCACTATGATTAGCAGACTTACACACTAAAAAGAGTCGTGCCAGCAGCACGTCCTTTTTTGGGACGGAGTGGAGGTACATTTTGTTGAATGGAGGACTAATGTGACCATACCTTAACACTATGGAATATTAGTTTCTGCATTTTACTTTTGAAGTGTGAAAACCTGCTGAAAGCAGGAAAATCAAATTGAATAGAGTCAGCTGATAGCAACGCTAACTAGCTAGTGGTCCATGTTACTTTAGTCCCGGTGACAAAGAGCAGGTCCCAAATGGAGTTTAATGTTGAAAGTTGAAAATACTTTTCTTAGAAATTAAGGTTAAGTCGACTATTGGGGGCAGCCCTACAACCTAGCACTTTCTCCAACAATTAACAAGGCTTGTGTTTGTGCCACACACACAAAAGAAGAATTCCAAGAGGTTTCACAATAGTTAACAAAAAACAGAACTACAGAACTGTCTAACCACATCTCGATGTGTATCGCACGCCAAAAGCATACTAACAAAAGATTTAGTTGAGGTAGTGTAGTCGAGATAATCCAGGGAAATGAACAAAATTGAATTACTCAAATACACTAGACAAAAATTACTAGAATAGAATAAACTGGGCATGTTTGTAAAGGCTTGTGGGTACCTATAGAACCAATTTTCATTCAGATATCCTGAGGTCAGAGGTCAAGGGATCCATCGATGTCAATTTTTCCATCGCCAAAATTGCCTTACTTTGAAGCGTTCTTCTTAGGGCTAGTAGGCTAGCAATGGATGCCTTGGATCATCAAGTTTCATATGATACCAGTCTTTCGACCCACATCAAGATGCCAACTGTGTAAGGGCTTACATAAAAAGTAAAAGGTGCTTTGACCTCCATTTTGTGTGTTGTTAAACCTTCCCTGTTCAGTCCCGCTACTCTAAGGAAGAGGAGAGGTTTTAGAGGCCAGTTGGTGAGAACTGTCTTGCAAAAAACAGGATAGACATATTAAATGCAACGAAAGTGATTTAAAATGCTTTTTTCACCGCAGACATTTTGACTTGTCATAGTAGGAAAAGCATATGTGTTACTAATACCATTAACAATGGCTCTGCTCTGTTCATGTGTCCCAGTAAGCAGTGACAGTTAGCCAGCATGCACAACACAAGGACCCTGAAACCGAAGCAGCTTAATGGAATTCAACCATCATCAATTGTATAATTTTCCACCTTTTCACCATCCTACTGTGACATGTCGAAATGTCCTCTGTGAAAAAGGCCTTATAGCAAGTCCTTTTTCATTTCATTGCAACTTAAATGAGCAGGCTCGTGTGCTATCTGAACACAGCCTCTGATACTCAGTACTCTCATTATCACACAGTAACTCTGTTCATGTAAATACACTAACATTCAATACTACACCGCTTTTATCAGTAAACTATACTAACACTCCGATACTTTGAACTTTCGACTCTTCACAGCAGTTTGAACCATTAAAAATGAATTTAAACGACACAGTGTTGTAGTGTTTGTCTCTGGAAGGTCCCTGTCTAGGCTGCTTTTAACTTACCACTAGATTGCAGCCATGAAAACTGCAGCATATGTAAGATAGTAAAACAAAAAACAAAATTTTAAGACATTTTGCCAGAAAAACTGGTTGTACTAAAGGTAACTCTGAAGATGTGTTTAGTAAATGTACAAACTGATCTTAAAAACTGAATGTTCAAACTGTGATTGAAATCACTCTGTATCATTGTCCGGTTATAAACATAATTACCCTGGGGTGCCCGGTTAGCTCAGTGGGTAGAGCTGGCGACCCATGTACCGCGGCCTAAGACCTGCGGCCCTTTGCTGCGTGTCATCCCCTCTCTCTCTCTCTCTGTGCCACCCTCCTGTCTGTCCTATCAAATAAAGGCAATAAAAGCCAAAAAAAAACCATAATTACCCCGCCCTCAAAGTCTCCGGTCCGGATTATACTCTGTTTCTGCTGCACACTGGACGTTTCAACTTGGTAATTACTTGGTGCAACCCATTTCAAATTAGTGATGTATAAATCTGCACTTAGTAAACACTAGTACTTAGTTGAGTACTGGGCAAAGTTTGAACTTTGAAAGTCTGTAGACTTGTTCTACACATATAATTAATTGACAGAGCGTGAAGTGATGCCAAAACAGAAGTGTCTTAAGCTTGCATTCTTTCTAATGGCCAGCAGGGGGCAGCTGTCATGGGTTTCAAAAAATAAGTCTCAATGGTAGTCTATTGAGTCTTATGGAGAAATGAGCTTACTTCTCTCTTATTAGCTCAGTAAACAGTTTCATGATGAGTTTATAGTCTCAGTCTCAAGTTTCAGTCTTCCTCCATACAACAGGATGTTCATTTAGTAAATGATGGTCCCATTTAGAGTAAATTAGACCATAAAGCAGGGTATGCTTTAGGGCGTGGCTACCTTGTGATCAGGGTTGGGAATGTTACTTTAAAAATGTAATCCAGTTACAAATTACCTGCTAAAAAACCTAATCCAAGTATCACAATATTAAAACAATGTAACTTGATTACTTTCTAAATAAAAACAATAGATAAGAATAGTCAATAAGAAGTATTGATACAAGTGTATTCTGTAAGACAACAGAACAATGTAACGGTTGAAAAGAAAATGGAAACGAAAAAATTTAATTTAGCATCAAAAATGTGTCCTCTGCTCAGTGTATTTTTAAAGAAAAACAGATTGATTTTAGAAGAGTAATCCTGCTTAATTATCCCCCATTTTTACTAGTATTACTATGTTTTGTTTTTTTGTTTTTTTCTGTAAGTGATTTCAGTTATCTTTTTTTGTATCCTGATATCCCCTCAGTTACATGTAAACCACGTCATTCTCAGTGAGGCCATCCAGCTCAATGCACCAAACTCAGATCGAACTGTCAGACTAGACAGTGCTGATCAGATACGAAGCAAGATTCTGTTACTGCGCTGACTATTTCTATCCTCAAAAGCTGACATGGTGACAGCCATAATGCTGGTTTAAATGATTGATATAAAACATGTTTAAATAATAGAGCTGAAATAGAGCTATATGATGCAGATGAAGTATCAAACTGTTGTAGGAGAAGAACTGAACCTTTAGACCTTCAGTGTTCTCACTGATGGGACCAACGTTTGTTTAAAAAAACAGAGCAGCAGCATGAGACATTGCCTGTGTGTGTGTGTGTGTGTGTGTGTGTGTGTGTGTGTGTGTGTGTGTGTGTGTGTGTGTGTGTGTGTGTGTGTGTGTGTGTGTGTGTGTGTGTGTGTGTGTGTGTGTGTGTGTGTGTGTGTGTGTGTGTGTGTGTGGGCGTGTTTCCAGTAGTTCCTGCCTACCAATTTCCAGCAGTGTTTTCTCAGCTGCAGTTTCCATGAGAGAGAAGAGAAAATGTTTTCATGGATTTCCTGCTATTACACCTCCTTATCCCCCTCTGCTTTCTTCCTCTTCACTCCTGTCCTCTCTCCCCTCTTCTCCCCTCTTCTCCTCTCTTCTCCTCTCTTCTCCTCCACGTTAACTTCAGCTGACTGAAAACACACCTGGTGTTGGTATAAGGTGTAGTCTGTTCCTTTAGGCTGAGTGGCTCCATTCATGTTCCTGAGAGCTGACACAGCAGTCACACACAGTATCACATTTTCATACTGACTGACCTTGTTGAAAGCAGTTAAAGCTGCATTAAGTGACCAAAACAAACAGCTACAAGCCTCCATAGACTACATCCGCTCATCAAGTTTTAAAGGCTAACACATTAAGAAAATTGTTCTAACAAAATCAGATGCAGAGAAGCATGGTCACTCCATTACAGTCCACTTTGTGTTAACTACTGTCAATCCAATATTTGCTTTAGCTCAGGTTTGGTCCCATTTTTTCTGGTGTTTTAGCCCTGGTTTGGTCAGACATTTTCTGGGGTTGTAGCCCCGGTTTGGTCCAGTATTTGTTGATGTTTTAACCCTGGCTTAGACCAGTATTTTCTGGTGTTTTAACCCTTATTGGTTAAATACACTTTGTTGTTGTACCCCTGGTTTGATCCAGTACTTGTTGGTTTTAACGCTGGCTTGTAACAATAGTCCCTGGTGCTTTAACCCTGATTTGGTCTGGTACTAGCCAGTGTTTTATCTCTGCTTTTGTCCAATATTCTATAGTGTTTAAGCCTTAGTTCAGTCCTATATTTACAGGGGTTTTATCCCTGGTTGAGGCCAATATTTGCTGGTGTTGTAGCCCTGGTTCAGCCCAATATTCTCTGTTGTTTTAGCCCTGGATTGGTCTAATATTCTCTAGTGTTTTAGCCCTGGTTCGGCCCAATATTGTCTAGAGAAATATAGGCATCAAAATTGAAAAACGTTTTTATTCATTCTGCTGCTGTATTTCATTGGTGAAATTAATCAAATTGATTAAAACACACACAGATCCAGTCTGATTGTGCATTAATCACTGTGATGAGCACTGCTCTCCGACTCAAAAACACAGAAAGCTTTATCAGTCCAACACACAAAGTGATTTTCATCTGACGTCATCATCCACACACGCACAGAGTACTACCAGGTTGGTTCCCACAATACCTCAGCGAGTGTTTTGTCCAACTTGCTGCTCCATTTCACATCATTAAACAATAGAAAGCACACACAGTAAGTGGTTCCAGTGGTTTATGAAGCAGTGCTGCGTCAATGCTGACCTCCAACTGCCCACAAAACAGGGATTGTGAGAAGGAGGGAGAGATACACAGAAATGTCCTGGTCTAACAATCCCCAGAAGTGGAAAGTATCTGAGGTCATTAAGTTAATTACAGTACTGGAGAACATTTTTAAATAGTGGTCTTTTATCTGAGTATTTCTCCCATATTACTTTCTACTTCTTAATCCAATAAACTTGTCTGGTGGCTCTCAAATTTGAGCTAGATGGAATTGAAACAGTATAATTCAGGATACAAGGTTTACTCCTGACCAAACAATGGTATAACAGAGGTAAATTACAAATATATTTTGTTTTGAATAATTTCATTTAGTTCCTTGCAAAGTTTCACAATCAGTGACTATAGTTTGTTCAAAGGATATGGTAAATGGTACTTGTATAGCGCCGTTCTAGTCTTCCAACCACTCAAAACTCTTTTACACTACGTGCCACATTCACCCTTTCACACACATTCACACAGTGATGGCAAAGCCCATCGAACAGAAAATAACGCATTCATACACACTCACATAGCAGTTTCAGTTCACCTCTTTGGCCTGGACTGAAATATTTTACCATTGTTATATGTATTACCACCACATTTGGTGCAGAAGATTAATCCCACTGACTTTGGTGATCCCCTGACTTTTCCTCCCACCCAGATTTTGAAATTTGTTTTATTGTGAAAAATCTATTGAAAAATCTGAGCGATTGCCATGAAATTTGGTTTAGACATTCATGCCCCCCTCAGGATGAACTGTAATACCTTTATTTTTTCATCCAACACCATCATCAGACCAGAATTTTAATTTGTCCAATACTATGACAGTATATATAGAGTATATGTAATATACAGAGCTTCGAGGTCTGTGAAGTGAAGCTGATTCGGTGAAGTGTTTTAAACCTGTATTCTATGTTATAGTCAGCAGGGGGCAGCTCCATTGGCTGCAATAAAAGACAGACATCATGCAGTCTTATGGAGAAATGACCCTACTTCTAACTTGATGTATGAGCTCAGTAAACAGTTTCCTGATAAGTTTATGGTCTCAATCTCTAGTTTCAGTCTTCTTCCATACAGCATGATGTTCATTTAGTAAATGATGATTTAGAGTGAAATAGACCATAAAGCAGGGTATGCTTTAGGGCGGGGCTACCTTGTGATTGACAGGTCATTCTCAGGGACTCTGTGTAGCTCACCAAACTCAGATCAAACTGTCAAACTAGGCAGTTCTGATCAAATATGGATCCAGATTCTGTTACTGCATTGACTATTTCTCTCTTTAAATCGTTTCACAAACATATTATATATGAGCTGCCATTGTTTCCTGCTACAGACAAGTGGAAACTGTACAGCCAATGAGAGCAGCTCAACTTGCAGTACGTCTCCTCCACTGGCTCTGGCAAACTGTCACGGTGACGCGGTAACACCAAACTCAAGGCTTCAAAACACTACACCACAAACCAATTTTCATTGAGTTGACGTGGCCTGCAAGAGAGATGGTCGAAGTTGACCACTGGGGCTCACATGCTAAAACTTTTACTATATCCTGACAGTAGTACATGAGACAGATAATCTGGCTCCTCCTGGTGCTTCTAATGGTATTTGGAAGAATCCACAAAACATTAAAAAAAGAAAACAAACAATTAGAGCTGAGAAAGACAGAAAGACACTATGGGTTGGAGGCTTGAAGATAGTTGATTGTTGAGATTCCCTGCGTCAGCATCTGACGAGCTGGGAATGAGACTAAACAATCAACCATCTTTCTTGGCTCTGATTGGTTGTTCTCATTCAGGATTCTTGCAAATACCATTAGGAGCTCTAGAAGGAGCC